CCTAAATGTTCCTGGTAACTTAAGAGTATTAAAGTATTAATGCCTGCTGCCTCCTTCTCAAAGCCTAGGAAGCTTCTGCTCTGCTTATGGAGGGAGGTGCAATGCTCCAAGGGGGTCCAAGAGCCCTTCTACCATCTTCCCTAAGCCCACTTGGCTTTGGTAAGGAGGCAGCAGGGCTCCAGTATCCTGTCAGAGGCCTGGCAACTCCTTCCCAAAGCCCGGGAAGCTTCTTCCCAGCTTAGAAAGGGAGGCACAATGTTCATGCGCATGGCGTTGTCCTGTCCCAATCACACTTGGAAGCTGGCACCTTTGGCGCTAAATAAGAACTGGTTGCTCAAACACAGTCTATGTTTCTCATATTTTAAATTGCTTATGAACTTACAAATTGTTGTAGAAATTATGCAAACAGGCTCTGAGGTTGCTTCCCCCAAGCTATTTCTTGCCGTCACCCGGACACGATATTCCCGAGCAGAAATTGGTTGATTGAATAATGTGCACAAAGCACTTTTGGTTGAGCAGCTTAGTATCTCATCGCCTACTAATGTTGAAGCCCTTTTCATTGAGCAGTTTTCTTCCTCATTCGGTGCTAACATCCTGTTTGTGAAAAATGCAGGTGGTGGGAAGAAGAAGAAAATTAGTAAATATTTTTTGGGGAAGAAGTGGTTAAGAAGCTCACATTTAGAATCAAATCCAGGACTGAAATATGTTGAGCACAATTTAGAAAAGAACAGTAAAAGGTGAATTATGCTTTTAATAATGACAACCGAAAGTTGAGAACATTCAAGTGCCACAGATTTCAACAGAAGAAATTTAAAGCATGGGTTTTCCCTCCCATAGAAATTAATAGGATGAAAATATCCTGCACCCAACCAAGATGCAATACGAGATTCTTGATTAAGATCTTACATGCGTATTTATTTTATTTTATTTTAAAAAATATCTTTGTATGCATTGGTAACCACACACAGCTACTCTGAAGATTTAAAAAAAGTGTTCTGGGACAGTAAGTTAAAGTTTTTCCTCTCTTACCCCTCTCCCACAGAGCTATTAGTTCTACAGGTGAAAAATCAGACATGGGTGGGAGTTAATTTAGATCAAAGAAAGGGCAAAGGAGAAAATGATAAACTTGCTCTCCCAGTAGCCATCTAAGGCTGCTAACCTGAGAGAGGGCGTGCTAAAAAAGAAAAAGAAAACAACCCTATGGGAGATCTACATCACAGATGTCCCATGTATCGTCTGAAGTCTCGTTAGGCCTGGGTCACCACCATAAAAGTGCCCAGCTGTATACCAGCCAGAAAACCCAACGTCCCTACCACTCACCCTGCTAAGGACATGGAGGTACCTTGTGCTTAGCAACTGGAGCTGAGTATTGCATCTTCCTGACCACATATCCCCAATTAAAAACAAAAATTATTATTTGCATTGTTAGTGTGGAAACACTATGGATAGTAATAAAGTTCTAGGCTGGATATGGTCAAGGGTTTTTATAAGCAGTACAGGTGGCAAAGAGAGAAGCACAATTCCTTTTCCTATAGATATTAGTTAAGGCTGTGCCACCATTGTCATTTGTCAAGCACATATGGCTGTTTTTGGAAGCATTATTTAAAAAACCCAACAACCTCAGAACAAAAGCTGACTTTGAGATACACATGGAACAAAATTATTTCTTTTCTACTCTGAAAAAAATGTTATTGCAGTGAATAGATATTGAAAAGAAGATGGCATACAGTGAATGCACATGGGTGAAGACTTTTTGTGGGCTGTATCCAACCTTTGTTATAATTACAGACCCATTGAATTTAATAGACATAAATGGATAGATATATGACACATATGAGTGCAAAGAGGGGCAGAAAGTAAAACTTTATGGTACAGGCCACCCCCAAGCCCTGCCAAGCTTGTGCATGGGATTCCAAGGGTCTTGGTCCTCACCCTGGGCTGTGCTCCTTTGGAGAATTGAATGTGTAGCAGAGACTGTCATAGCTTTAATAAATATGATTTATTCACATATTAACACCAGAGTTTGGAAGGAAGGGGTCCAGATCTTACAGCATGGTCATCTCAAGCAAGGTTTGTTTCCCTCAGCAGGGCAGCACTTGAGCCCAAGGCATCTCTCCCAGCCAGCCTTCAGCCAACCTGCCCAAGATGGATCTCAGTCTTTTTTTCTCACCATTCTTCTTCCCAGCACACCTTGCTCTTTTCCTGTCACCTCTCTCACACACAGTTACGCTGGCAACCTTTCTCTGCTCAGCCCAAGGATTCCTCTTAGATGGGCAGGTTAACTTTGCCATGTTAACAGTTTTGCTCTTCACTAGCTTGGCCAGGCTGATTGCATAAACCAGCATAGGAATTCTTTGTCTGACACAGTTCTGCAGCTTGTATTTTCATTCATATCCCAAATAATCAAAATCCTACCATTTATAGGGTTTAGGGCAGTCCCCACCCAAACTTCCAGCTATATATAGATAGCTGTTGTAGAGTTATTTATTAGCAGGTTGTATGGCTTTATTCCTCTTAATCTCACTGTATTTCTGAAAATTTAACAACCCTGGAATCCATTTTTGGATAAAATGCATTTTGTGTTCTGCCACAGACCCCATGGAAGCCATTTTGTACTGTGCCACAGCATACCTACAGCAACCACTTCATGACTGGTACCCACACTCCTTTATATAATATTAGTAGCCAAACTCTTAGCACTTACTGTTTAGTGAGAGTATAGACTGTTTCAGGGTCCCTTTCATATGTCCAGACGCAAGTAAGAGTTGAGCCACTTTTGTAATAAAATAAGCAGGCAATAATTTCAGGAGGCTGTGGAGGAGCTGCGAGCAAGAAAGGAAAAACAACAGATTTCTCAGGCATTTGAATGACCAGTTTCGTTTGGTAAAAAGACTTTAAACTATTTGGCATCAGTAAAATCTTACAATTTATATCTTTTAAAATATTACACCCACAAGGATCCCATTCTGCGTAAATATTGTCAAAAAATTTCAAGTATCATCTTCATCTATTTTTAAAGAAAAATCATTTAGATCAGATATACTAACAGCAAAACACAAAACAACACAGTAGTGATGGAAAAATGAACAAAGAAGGGTTCTACCTCGTCCCTTTAACAGATTCATGTGTTGTCTACCACCCCTCAGACTTGACATACACATTTTTTCTTTAAAAAGTAACTCTTATTAAAGATTTTCTTGGTTTAAAAAAGTACGTGCATTGTCTCTTTTTTCAGGTTGTAAAGTCTTTTCTACAGATCAGTTACATTTGTTATGAGACATTAGTGTTGAGTACAGTATAAGGTCGGGGAAGAAGTGGGGGGGAGGGTGATGGTGAAATTTATATTATTTTATTATAGTGTATGTGTGGGGTTTTGTGTCAGCATCAACTGGATAACATGTTTTAATTCCCCACATAGTTTTTCATTATATCGCATCTTGGACTTTTTGCCATTATACAATTACTGTGGAGCCAGTTTAGGCTTCATACATTTGACAGCTTTCTTTGTGCCACTCAGGGCCAAACTAGACTCAGCACTAAACAAGTCAGTGTGTGTTTGCTTTTCGAAAAGCAGATATGGTTTTGAACTGCAGCACACAAGGAACGTGGGTTTAACTTTTCCACCCCCAAACTGTGGTATCAACAGCTGGCCAAAAACAGGAAGTTCTCTTGTTTGGGATTTAGCCTAGTTAAATTAGATGCTTTGAACTGTATATATATAGATTGCCTGCCTTCATTCAAGTCATCAGGAGGAAGTTGATTTCAATAAAAAAAAATTCTGTAGGCTTAGGATTGCAATCTAATAATAAGTGCAGAAAAGGTTCAACTTACCTAGGGAACAGAATCCACAAGGCATGATTAAGATCCAAAGTGAGGCTTGGAAGATTTTATTTAGAATCATTGTGTGTGGGCAGAAAACGCTGTAACAAAATTAAGATTGTTTTCTCCATTCAGGTCAGGAGCACTCCTGTATTATAAGAGTACAGGCATCATCATCCCCCCACCCACTTACACATGTTGCACTCGCGCATGACCACGAGTCTGCACCGTGGAAAGAAAGAAAGAAAGAAAGAAAGAAAGAAAGAAAGAAAGAAAGAAAGAAAGAAAGAAAGAATAGATGATAGATAGATAGATCCATACCAGGAAATGGCAGGAGAGAGCTGGAGAGTCCTTGTGGTTTACAAGAATACCCTCCCCAGAGCCCAAAGAAACACCAGTATGGGCGGGAGGAAGCCTTGAAAAGACCCAAGGTGCACTGAGGGCTTTGTTTAGGATACCAGCCAGCAGTCAGCAGCCTCCAGCCAGAGACTCTAGATATTTTGGTCTGGATTGGAGAGAGGGTGGGGGAGAGAGCCTGGAGAACAGGGGGAAATAGGCATTTAGGGGCTTTTTTTAAAAGTGCCCCCCCCCCCACTTTATGTGATTTAACTTATGCACATGGGGCCCCGGAATGTAACCCTTGCATAAGTGGTGGGTGGGATATGCATGGATACGCTGTAGTGAAATTAAGTTTTTTCTTCTCCAACAAGGTCAGAAATGCTCCTGTATTATATAGTATATATTTCTATCTGATGAGCAAACACTATAGTTTATAATGAAAATAAAATTGTTTGACATATCTTCCCTCAGCTACATTTCCAAAGGAACCAGAAACCATCATTCTACTATTACTTCACACATTTCAGAGTTGACTCCTGAAAATAGATTTCAGAGCTGAATTTTTTGCTTTTTTTTTTTTTTTTTTGAGAGTCCTATTGCTGTAACACAGAACTTGTGAAGCAGGCTTCCTATTTATTGGGGTCAAACGATTTAGAAAAAACCTGCAAACCACAAAGCAGTATTGCCACCATTATTGCCACTCCCCACAATCCCAGTGCTCCTAGCCAGTTTTTCAACAGTAATGCATGTATGTATAGTATAGTCTAGTCTAGTCCCTGGGATCTTAGTGGTTATAATGGTTGTCCCCTCTCCTGTTGCTATTTAGCTGCCACATCCCATTGGCCCCTCCTGCTCAGTTGGTAGAACTTGAGACTCTGAATCTCAGGTCATGGGTTTGAGCCCCACATTGGGCAAAACATTCCCACAAAGTTCCTGTTTGAACATAACATTACAGTTTAAAATAAGCTTTCTTTTTGCTCCCTCGGGAAGCACTGGGGCAAGAAAAAAGTCTCCTCTGCCAACACTGCCCTACATTTGGCACCAGCATGGATGCAGGAGTTGCCAGGAGGAGGCATACAACATGCCATCCTTAAGGACTCCACTCCAGATTTGTTAAATCCATTGTGGGGAATGGAAAAATCAGGTTGCTACCTCCGAGTATAGGATGGTATATAAATTCAATAAATAATGATAATATGTTTTTCAGCTCACTGTTAATTCATGAGTCAATTGCTTCCATTCTATGATGTTCACTATTTGTAGGAATAATGGAATCATAGAACTGTAGCGTTGGAAGGGATCCCGAGGTTCATCTAGTCCAATCCCCTGCAATGCAGGAATCTCAGCTAAAATGGCCATCCAAGCTCTGCTTAAGAACCTCCAAGGAAGGAGAGTCCACAACCTTCTGAGGGAGACTGCTCCAAAGTTGAACAACTCTTACTGTAAGAAAGGTTTTCCTGAAGTTTTGTCAAAATCTCCTTTCTTGTAACTTGTGGGATTTACATTTTTCTTTTCTTTTATACTATCTAATGCAAAAAACCCAACCCCTTAGAATTAAAAAATTCCCAATCCAGGATTAAAAACTGAATGAAGCTTACTTTTGGTTACTCCAGGCTTTGAGCATGACAATCATGAGGTGGTGAAAGGCATCCTTTTGTTGCTGTTGTTAAAAAATCAGGCACCAGGAACGCTTCACCTACTGCAAAGCTTCGAAAGACTTACCAGTAGAACCTGACCTACTATCTGCCTACTCCTGGTAGAAGCCAAATTCCAGTACGGAACAGGCTGCCTACACATCCCCCCCCCCCCCGGCAACTTTGCTTTTTTAAGGGTTGCCGGGAACTGAGATAAACTTCAGTGCCCAAAATTCTTAGGTGGGAAGTATGTTCTTCAAATGTACTTTAAAGGTATTGCACATCAAGTTGAGAGTTATTGAAAGATAAACAACATGTGCACGTGGGTCAGACCAAAGCCCTTTAAAGCTGCACCTGTCCAAAAGTTCTTAAAGATAATTTATGTCCCGTTTTGAGGGTCTGGGGTCAGGAATCCAAAGTTGTGAAGGACTAAATGGTGTTCTCTACCCGATGGATCTTTCAAGTCCTCGACTTGAACTGTTAATATCAACAGCACAAAGCTAACAAAAAACCTCGCTGAGTTTGGGCGTGAAAACAGCCTTTAAAAGGAAGGAAGGAAGGAAGGAAGGAAGGAAGGAAGGAAGGAAGGAAGGAATCTGGGGAAGTGCAGGAGGTGGGGGTGGGAAGAAGTGTACGATGACGGGGAATGGGAGAATGAAAAAGCAAATGTGGCACTTGAAGCCAAAGGACTCTTGATGGCATAAGCTGAGTAAGAAGCTGCCCTTGTGCAATAAAAGATGCAGGAAAGGAAGAAAGGGAAGCGAGAGGAGCATCTTTTCGGTTGCAACAACTGCCTAGAAGCAAGGCGGGGAAGTGTCAGTCAAGCCAGGGAAAGAAGTGTGTGAAGAGGGGAAACCTTGGGGCTGAGTCCACTCACTGCTCCTGGGGCTCCCCTACCTCCTCAAGCTACAGCAGCCTGCCACGTGGTCTCTGCCAGAGCCTGAGGCCGAGCTTTATATGTCTTCCCCGCCCACCATGTTCCTTCTCTCCCTCTAGGCGGGCCTCATCGGCCTCCAAACTGGGAGAATTGTGGAGACTTCCAGTTCTAACCCACGCAGAGCACGGCTGAAATGATTGAAAAGCATTAAAAATGTACTCAATGAACTGAGGTTCTGCTCCCCACCCCCCCTCGTAATGTCCTTTTTTCGGGGAGATGAAAAGATGGGCTAGAATGCATTGCGACTAAAAGTGTAGCTACTTAAGGAGTGAGGGAGGAACACCGCCACATGCGCAGACGTGGAATTATTTTTAGTTATAAAGTAAGAGTTGTGCCCATCACCTCAGACAAAATGGAGTGGAAGGCCACGTAGGCTGAACTCGTAACTACAGAGGACATGCCGATTAATTCTTGGTGGACTTATGACGTTGCCTTCACGTTTTGGGAGTTTATAAAAACATTAATTGCACAGCCTTGTTTTGTTTTTTGTGAATGTGCCTCTGTTGTATTATATGTCTATTTTTAAATATGCTGTGAAGACTTTTCCCCTAATAAACTGTCGTCTAAAGAGGTGAACGATGCGACTGAGGCGTAATTTATGGCTTTTTTCTGGCATGTTCTTTCAGAGAGAGAAATTCATCCATAACAAAATTGCTACGTTGCTTCTTGTGAAAACAGTTCTGAAAGTCCTTCTTGTGAAAATCCCAAGGGCTAGCCTTACTATTAGGCCAAGCGAGGCAACCACAGGACACATGAAAGGACCTCAGATTCTTAGTTATTATTGTATTTTTACTATGAGGGGAAAGACAGTTGTCTTTTGCACCAGCCTGAAATAATAAGTGTGAAGAGCCGTATCTGCCCATTTTTTTAGAGCAGAAAGCAGTTCATTTCTTTATAAAGAGATGCTTTTCAGAGACCGGGCACTGCTCAACCAAGAACTTAAAATATATTATTGTGTGAGAAATTTATATTCCAGAATGCCAACTTGAATAACATATTGTGGGTGGGTGGGGAGGCCCAACCCCACGTAATCAAGCACAAGACATGGCACATGAACCCCATCTGAATGGCAATGCCTATCAACTTTTAGCTGGTGGCCCCCTCACATATTTCAGCTGGGGTGAAGGAACCTCGGCCCCCCTATGGTTACTTTGTTGGTTTTCTCTTATTTTAGTACTTTCTGAATAGGTTCTGAAGGGCTATTTTTAGGTAGTTCTTACAACTTTCATAATGGCCCTCACAATAGTATTGGGGTGCATAAAATGACTAATAGATATGAAGTACCATATTTTTTGCACCATAACACTCACTTTTTTCCTCCTAGAAAGTAAGGGGAAATGTCTGTGCGTGTTATGGAGGGAATGCCTACGGGTGGCATGCCTACGGATTTTCCTCCTCTAAAAACTACGTGCGTGTTATGGTCGGGTGCGTGTTATAGAGCAAAAAATACGGTAAGTTGCTATGCAATTTACAGGCTTGCACAAGCATCTTACATGAGGTTAACATTTGTTCATTCCACCGAGATTTGCGCTCATGAAAACTTCAGTGTTGACTGTGTTAATTGTATGGATGCTTTGCTGCAATTCAGGAAAGCAAGCTGTATTTCCTTGAGAGCAAGGGAAAGCAGAAGGAATTCATTTGTTTGCTTCTGTATTTTTAAAATGAGCAATCGTACCTTAGCTGGCAGTGTTTCCTATAAGAACCTTGGATGGTAAAAATGTTTCCCCAAGATACCAACTAAACTGCATAATTTCAGGGAAAGATCCTAGACATGACTACATGCAACCAAGCAGAATTCTAGAGTTCATTTAAAGACTATAGGAAAGGCCAGGTGGTTGAGTAGGAGTGTTTGGTGCTGCTCTCTGAAGGCACTTGAACAGCACCTGCTCCCCTATAAATTAAAGTGGGGAAATGATTTGGGCCAAGAAATACCAACAGCCGTCTGGGGAGGAATCATGGCGGGCTAGAAGTTCCCTGTTGACAGCTCATCAGCAGAGATAATTATGTGGTGATTAATGATAGCCAAGCCATAAATCTTTGTTATCACATTCATTATCTCTGGAGAAAAGGGCTGCTTTTCCATGGCAGCGACTGAGAAACTTTCCAGGGACCCATACGTAGGGCGGTGAGTGACCAACAGCGGAAGAAAAACAATTTGTCTAAATGCTACATGCTAGTCCTAGGGTTCTTCCAAATGTTAAAAAAGAACTTAATCCAATTTATTATTATAGCAACAGTTGCAACTCATTCATTTGGGGGGGGTTACTGCAAAATGCAACTATTGACACATCATTCTGCTTTATTTGTGTAACTAGTTTTATGAGTATCAAAGAAAAATGGGTGAACATCAAGAACTGAACTTAACTTCAGCTTATAGCCACTCTGACCATTACTGAATTTCAAGCAAGTTTCTTTTTTGACATCCTCAATCATGGTCAGAGTGTTTGCTGCTGAAAGTGTCACCAATGCACTTTCAGGCTGTACCTACGTATTTTTCATTAGATACAATTACTGAAAATGTCAAAATCTTTGTCAAGCTCACCTGTATGTTCTCACATCCAAGTGTGACAAAACCATACAAGTTTTGTGAAACTTTTGTCCTGGGCACCAGCTCAATCTGCTAAGGAAACAGGGTGATGTGTATTTGCAATGTCATCAAAAGGAAACGCCTGCACAGTAGCAGCTGCAGTTGTGTACAGTACTAGATGAAAGTTTTAATTCCAATGTACTTTCAATGTAAGAGGGGGAAAAGAACACTGTGCAGCAGGGGAGAACAGAAAATACAGGGTGTATTGCCAACATTGACACCAATGTACAAAAGTCCACTTTGATCATGAATATTGTTTGCAGTCAATTTGTAACCATCATACAAGCCATGATGGTACTATTTTTTTGAAAGGTTTGAGGGAATTAGGGAAAAGCAGGAAGTGTTAAGCTTTCTCTTTGCCTTAATACCTGCATGTCAAAAAGCACAGGGCGGTGTGATTATTATGTACTGCACAGAACATGATCCTAAGTTTTTATTTAGTGTTTTTACAATAATTTACAACAGTTCCTTGTGGCAAACTGGTGTTATTTCACACAACCATTGAACAGATCAGTAAAATAAGTAATTCAAAAACAAATTAAAACTCCTGTATGTTTATCCCAATCACCTTTCCTGGACAACAGGAAGCAGAACATTAACAATTTCTTGAACATTTTAAAGTCACAATCCTAAGCACATTTACTTAGAAGCAAGTCGCACTGAAATCAAAGGGATTTAATAAAATAAATGTGTTTAGAAACCAGCCAGTTTCACACATAACCATCTTGTTCGGAAGATTTAGCATGGTAAATTAAGAACGTTGTTCCATGACAGATGGTAGCCTCAATCCCATGACTCATCAGGTGCACTTATATTTGATGCTGTAAATCCTCCACCTCCTCCGCTGTGGTGATTCTCTTTGCCATGGTAAACCTACATTAAATCAAAGTTGAGCAGATTTTCAAAATTATATATTGCAATGAGAAGGTATGCAACATGATTACTTTTCTTCTTGAAGTACCTGCCAGATTCTGGCTGCCCAGAGATCAGAAAACATAATTATAGCCATCAGTAATGAACACCAAATATTCTGAAATAAATGAGCTCTATAGTTCACTTCCACATTTGTGGTCTGAAGGACCTGAAGGACCAGGTGGGCAGCCTGGGAGTCATTTTGGACTTGCATCCATGGAGGCGCAGGTTAATTCTGTGTCCAGGGTGGCTGTCTACCAGCTCCTTCTGGGACGCAGGCTGAGATCCTACCTGCCTGCAGACTGTCTTGCCAAAGTGGTGCATGCTCTAGTTATCTCCCGCTTGGACTACTGCAATGCGCTCTACGTGGGGCTACCTTTGAAGGTGACCCGGAACCTGCAATTAATCCAGAATGCGGCAGCTAGGCTGGTGACGGAGTGGCCGCCGGGGCCATATAACACCGGTCCTGAGAAATCTGCGTTGGCTCCCAGTACGTTTCCAAGCACAATTCAAAGTGCTGGTGCTGACCTTTAAAGCCTTAAACGGCCTTGGCCCTGTATACCTGAAGGAGAGTCTGCATCCCCATCGTTCAGCCCGGACACTGAGATCCAATGCCGAGGGCCTTCTGGCGGTTCCCTCATTGAGAGAAGTGAGGTTACAGGGAACCAGACAGAGGGCCTTCTCGGTAGTGGCGCCCGCTCTGTGGAACGCCCTCCCATCAGATGTCAAGGAAATAAGCGGCTATCCTATTTTTAAGACATCTGAAGGCCGCCCTGTTTAGGGAAGTTTATAATATTTAATGCTGTATTGGTTTTTAACACTTGATTGGGAGCCGCCCAGAGTGGCTGGGGAAACTCAGCCAGATGGGCGGGGTATAAATAATAATAAATTATGATGATGATGATGATGTTCACAATTTATCTGTTTAATCTGTATTCAGAGATATACTACATTATAAACTGGTCTTGTGCACAATAGCCCTAAGAAAATGACAAACTATACCACAACTCAACCAATACCAATGCCATTGATACTTTCATTTGGTAAGTTGTCAGATACAAATTTACTTATTATACTTGCAAATACTTGTTACCCTCTTGATTGATGTAACTGCAGCATGTTTATGTCTATAGAGAACCTGAACCTATGGACTGTTGCCATTGCACAGAGTGCTCGTATCATATCATATCACCAAGAGAGTCCTGTAACAATATGAAGGCTCTCTATGCTCCACTCAAGATATTACATTACTGCTGAGAGACTGAAAACTGGCAACACAGGCTTTCTGCAGTAGCTGCCACAGAGAAATCTTAATGCAAAACTAGTTTTTAACACCACATTAAAGGGAGTTAATTCCCGTTCCCACTGCTAGTTTTAGCATCTCTACGCAAGCGAGCACCTTGTTTAAACTTACATTATTAAACCAGAGCCATGAGAAAATAGCATCTGTATACAGAAAACCCCTGAGCCCCTGCCCCACTCTGGCAAATGTGATGAGCTCCCACCCACCCCTGATCTAGAACCTGAAGTGGTAACAGTGGATTGCTTCTAACCTCACAGGAAACAGCACAAAAGCACTGTCTGCTTGCTTTTGCTGCATATGCATATTCCCTGGGAAGAGGTGTCCGCAGAGAAAGCAAACAGATGTCTTTTTCCCCTGCATCCCCGGGGTAGAAGAATCGCTTAAGGAAGGCTGATCCTTGGGAAATGGGTTATTTCCCCCCTCCCCCTGGAAGCACATGCTGAGCAGGGGTTAAACTTGGCTCAGGTTTGCTGAATGCAGCTCTCACAGGGGATAAAAAAAGCAAGTTTTTGAAAGGATGAGCTTTCCTGTTTTCCCTCTTTTCTAGGAAGCACCACTTACTTGTGCAGCAGCTGAAGCAACCTTTAACAGAGGGGCCCTTCAGAGAGCAGTTTGGCAAACTGTTCTCTGTTGCGCCTCCCACTCACCATCTAACCTCCCTGGGGCTACCTTTAACAGAGGTGCTGCTGCAGAGAGTGGCTGGGTAAACTGCTCTCTGAAGCACTCCTCCCCCCCTTTATTAAAGCTTCCTGGAGTGAGATGTTAAGATGGGGAGAGGGGGCTGAGGTGCTTCAGAGAGCAGCTTGTTTAAAAGTGTTCTTCAAGACTCTAAAAACTTTCAAGATTACCCATTATCCAAAATAAAGTTTTCGGATCAATCATTATCAGCGGTTCTGCTTAAGATTTACCTTTCGAGAGTCAACAGATGCAAACATGTTTCCCCTTGGACTGCTAAAACCAATTCCACCAGAAGTACAAGCAATCTCTTCTAGCCACACTGGCACTTCTTGTTGAGCCTTCAAAGAAATGTTTAGTGTGTCATTTGTTTTGTGACTTTCAGTTTAGTAGTAATAATAAAAGCAAATTTCCAGAACAAAAAAACTTACATCTGCAAGCACTTTGACTAGAGGCTGTGCAATAGGACTGTCTGAACTAGCATCAAAGAAAGAAGTTGCTTTGCCAATATTACCACAACGCCCAGTTCGTCCAATCCTATGAACATATTCATCAATTGTGGAAGGTAGATCAAAATTTATGACATGTTGAACATTTTCAATATCCAGACCTCTTGCTGCCACTGATGTAGCAACAAGAACAGGGCATTTTCCAGAACGAAAATAATAAAGAGCTTCTTCTCGCTCTCTCTGTTCCCGATCACTGTAAATAGAAAAATAATTACATCTCTTTACAAACGTGAGTGAAGTTCAGCGATTCTAATACACAAGCAAACAACACCAGCAATATTCTTATTCAAATGCATATTTGCCAAGTTAAACATGTAACTAAAAGCTAATATGTAATGTTAAATGGCAGGAGAGGCCAACTTTGCAGATATTTAGGGTCATTCAAAGTTAGCAGCATATACGGCATGGCAAAAACACATTACATTTGTTCTGAGCATAAGTTAATGTATATTCTATTACAATTTTATTATTACAAAACTTTACAGCTAATGGCTTTTGGGGAGGCATTTCTTACTGTTTATCATAAAGTATAATTCTTGTCTCAAATAGTTGTGTGTTTCTACAGAGCTCAGAGAAATAAAGCAGTATATGAAAAGAGGAAAAATCTAAAGAGTGTCTATCAGCTCCTATCATGACTACTTCAAAAGTCATTCCATGAAATATTTATTCCAACTTTTAGAATCCCCTAAATGGTAAGTTCCAGCTTGTAAGAGGCTGGGAAACAAGTACACAAAACTTACTCTTCAGCTGTAGTTACCATAAACATACTGACAGTAATGTACAATAGTTATTTAATTAAACAAAAGCATATCTCATCTTTCAAAAAACAATGTTTTATTGACTTTGTATCAAAATACACAAATAATAAAAGTTAAAACCATTTAGAAGATCATAATCACTTCAATTCAGAGACCAGCCAAGATTTATACTCCAAACATCCCTATGCATTCTCTGATGCTTTGGAGGTCTTTGGGTACAAGAGCAATCCTCCAGACTCTTCACTAGCTTCAAACTGGATGGGGAGCTGTGGCACTCCTGTCAAGCTGTCAACAACTGGAAATATTCAGGGCAGCAAGAACCTCACTACTTTTAGAATTTTGGAGAAGCTAAAAACATTATCGGGGGGGACACACACACACACACACACACACATACCCCTACCCTTTTCCAAGCTCATAAGTGTATGAACCTCCACTAGGTTTGAAAGTGGTAAATGTGTATTAATATGCATGTAACCTGCTGGTGATTTTGCTTCATGTACCAAGCTGGGAGCAAAGAGTACATTGTAAAAAAGCAGCTGAAGTCCAGTATCGTGCCACGCTTTTGAGCTTCTGCTCAGATACAGCATAAACCACTGTTGCGTGTCCACTTGTGGCAATGTTGCCTTACAAGAAAAACAGGCATGCACAACGGTTTAACAAGTCTTTTGCTACCAACCTTTATGCATGGGAAGTAGCCATACATCCAAAATAAAACAGGAAGTAAATTCAGGAAGAAAGAAATGAAACCAACTGAGAACGTAGGTTTGGATTAGTATAAAGACCATAGAGTTAAAAGTCCAGATCCGACTGCAATCTAAAATGTTGAAAGCAATAGGGAGAGAAACAGGAAAACAAACAGTTGTAAAGAAGATACCTTGTGTAAGTTGCTTGTGTCATGTGCTCTAGTCTACGTACTGTTGAAAAGATTTCCTTTGCGTCTCTGGGCTGGTTTGGTACATAATACCCATAGAAATTTGGCCAACACTCTTGGCAAACATTCAGGGTTTGTTCTTGGGTTTGCTTTTGCAACCTGTGTCTACTCTATATTCATTTTTTGCGGGTGAGGCTTGCCTCCTCAGAGCAAGTCTTTCACATAGGAGAAAAGGAGAATTGTACCCACAGTGTGACATCCACTCCAACAATATTTGATTAGGTGAGGCATTCTATCCATGTCACATGTACCAATGACTTATGATATGGTGCTATATGGATGAGCCTTAACTAGCTTCCCTCCCCTTCTACAACCAGGAGGTGGCATACTGCTGAAATAAGTTTCACTTTAAAGAAACTCATCTCAGTGTTATGTTCAAACCACAGACGACAGTTCCATAACTCATGGCATGAAGCTTGTTTTAAACAAGCACCTCTGATGGGAGCATAATTCTAAGCTAAATTACTTAAAAAGTAAAAATAATATCAGAAGCCCTTCTCCTTACTGTATGGGAGGAAGTGGGAGTATGCACGTCAGACTTTTTTTGCTCAGTGTTTTGAGATGAGCACACTCCCAATAAATCATGGTATGGTACAAAGTGCAAATGCAGTTTTCAAGTCATCTAGATACACAGAAAATTCTGCATTGCATTCTACTGTAGAATGGTGCACTTACCAAGTTATGCAAGCCCAGAAGTTTGAAACAATGCCTGAATGTTTTTCTGGGTTTGAAAAAGACCACTTTAGAATTGACACTTTAGAAATGATATGTCAGGATACTTTTTTAATGTATGGAATAGCACACTAGTTGTACTGATAAATATATCCTCGTATGTTTACCCTGAAGCTGAGAAAGAACACTATTCCAAATAAGCAGAAGCCACCAGTCTCATACCTTACAAAGCTCCTCCTGAACATAAAAAAGCTACCTCAAGTGCAATAAAGACATGCTGCTACTTCACTAAGACAGCATACTTCTGAAACTAATACTTTTATATAGTGTGCTGAGGCTATACTGAACTTACTAAAGAATGGTAGAATAGATTGAAAATAAGGGCAAAGTAATATACACTGCAGGCAGTGAAAAGGGCAAATTGATGGTTAGGATAATTAAGAACAGACATACCATATAATGGGGCAAGTAAAGAACCATCTTGCCCCCATGGAAGGAAAGAACTTTTCTCTCTCCCTGTCTCTCTTTTTAAAAAAATCAATGCAGTTAGCTATTTGAATGTCACCAGCTTATAGGGTGCTTTAAAAGTAACTGAATCATGATTTACTATGAATATATACTTACCCATGAATACTTGTTGTTGCTATGTTTTCTTGGCAAAGGAATGTTGCAATAAAGTCTGCTTTTTTCTTAGTTTCCACAAACACCATGGTTCGCTTATCACCTTTACAAAGGCAGACATAATATTAAGATATATCTATTCAAATAAAATAGTAAATCAATAGTTTTCAAGTGCCAGTAGTAATTCTGATGCCCATATTAGTAAGATTGTTAAAAATCTAGTTTCTTTGCTTTTCAGTATTTTACGTTAAGCTACCAGACATTTACTCATCCCAGCTTTTCTCAAGTAACCCTCCTTAAAATATCATCTTTAGCTTTAGATTGAGAGGACTTCTTTATTTTTAGCTTTCTGGAGAATGTTTAGTAATTTTAGGCATTTTATGAGTAATAGTTATTAATAGTACTTCACCATATAACTTTCTACCATTTAGCACAGAGTACAGCTACATGCTTGGAATGAAGCTAGTAGTTTCTAGTAATTCCCACCATACTATATTAAGGAAAGTCCAGCTGGATCTGGTTAAGGGTTCATCTAGTCCAGCATCTCACAGAGGCCAACCAGATTACTCTGGGAAGCCAAGCAATCCATGAAGGCACATACACTCTCACTCTCTCCTGTTCTGGCTTCCCAGCAACTGGTACTGAGAAGCATGCTGCCTCTGAAATCTTCAGACAGTAACTACTAGCCATGGTAAGATGCAAAAGCAAGACTTGTAGCCTATACAAATAGGTTTTGAGGGACACACAGCAACAATCTTAAACGTTAACCAGTATAAAGTCAAATAAAAGCATAGAAAAAATACAAAATTCCAATTTGCACTTCCAATTAATTCTGTAATAGCTAGACAAACAGACAATGGATATTAGAATGACTGACAGTATTTAAGGAAAGGACAATATTTTTGTCTGAGATCAAGGTGTTGCGAAACCCTAAAGCCCAAGGCCAATCTGAAAATTAAAACACCTCTCTCATTAACTTCCTAAATATAGCAATCCGGATTAAGCAACATTACATTTTTTTAAAAAACCTACAATCCATAAATAAAGGTATATAGCTCATGCTTCTGCTCTCAGAGTTGTATCCAACATTAGACATACTCCAAATAGGCCCACTGAAGTTAGAATATACCCATTGAAGGTCATGGGCCAACTTGGCTGGCAACAATTAATAGTTTTCCATACACAGCATTTCAGATTCCTGGGTATTTTAGGGAGAAGGATACAACTTGCACAAATCTATTCCAAATAAAAATAAGAGTTATTTTACTGATGAATAGGAAAATTTATACTTTTAGCCCTGATTTCACACTGGTCCAAAAAAGTTTGGTTTGACCAACAAGCAGGCTATCCTTATCTCTCTAATGATCTCATCTACACATTCCACATAGTACATAAAAAAAATCACTATATTGCCCAGTTCCACAACTTTTTGGTTTCAAGGGGCCTAAGTGTAACAAAATTCTGTGCTGATTGGTTACATTTCATTATCTTTCTAAGAGACCCGTTACATGGTAGTTACCTGTGCCATTGAGAATCTCAACAAGCTTCTCTCTCTTGTCATACTGATTCACTTTAAGTATTGTCTGCTGAACATCACTGCAGGCTCCACCTACTTGTCCAACAACAACAAATAAGTACTCTGCCTTCAAGAATTCTCCAGCTAGCCTTTAAAATGAACAAATAAATCAAGTTAACTTGGAAGTAACAGCTAAGTTGAGGAGAATCAGAGAAATAGCTTGGATAATAAGGAGTTGTTCTAGTGTATATGCAAGAAAGCAAAAGTTAACTATCAGTCAACTAGTTCTACAAAACACATATGTTCATATTATACATAGTCCTGCATGAAAATGCATTTTCCAATACTGTGTTCTGAAACATAACCAACTTGCACAATTGACGGGGACTCTTCATATGAATAACAGTCAGATAAATAAATGCCTCTTGTATTAAATGTGCAGGTATTGACCTTTCGGAAAAACTCATGTTGAAATGTTCTCACTCTTATTAGTGATTTAAAATTTAGGATTCATGTTTTTAAAATGAACATACCCACTGGCAGAGGAAGAGGAGTGCGGGGGGAGCGCACCAACCCTAGCAACGCGGTCCCAGTAGGGTACCATTGCAGCTCCCCCCACCGCCAGCGCTGGGTGCCCCACCCCCCAGTGCTGGAGCATGAAGCTCCGCCACTGAACATACCTCTGGATTTCTTCAGGGAATGTGGCACTAAACATTAGTGTTTGGCGTTTTTCCTTTGGCGGCATGCCTGGAGATAAAATTAATTTCTTCATATCTGGGCCAAATCCCATATCCAGCATACGATCTGCTTCATCCAACACCAAATATTGTAGCTTCCTCAGCCCAATCTAAATAAATTTAAAGTTAACCCAAAAATGAAGAAAACTTCCATTGTATGTGACAGCTATACAAACTTAACATGGTACAGTATTAAAAAAACATATCTGCAACGCTTTTCATCCTACTCCCTTCGCTACAACGCTCAGCATAATTAAACTCCAAATGAAAGTATACATTAACTTCTACAACATGGTTGCCCCCTAGCGGCAGCAGTAGATTCCATGTGTCAGGCTGCTACATTTAGACTTCTCACTTGTACTTCTCACACAGTACAGCTACATCAGTGTTACCCACAGAAAACTCCACTAGTTACTCCACTAGAGTTCTATGACAGCAGGTGCTTCTGCAACAGCACATTGACTCAAGAGATTACAGCTAACACATCCACATTTCAGCAGTAACCTTGGTAAGCATTTTATTTTATCACAGGTAACTGAGTTGCAAACAGCATCTGTATACTGTACATTGCCAACATAGATAGTTTAGTAATGTAATACAGTAAGAGCACAGCACTTGTTCTTCTGCCTAGGTCAGTGCTAGGCCACCCTTAACAAAATATTTTATATTTGTTTTGTGTCTATATGTCTGAGCGCTTGTAGTAAACCACTGCCATAAAGGCAATTAAAATGTATTTCCATCATACTTAGTTGATGGGTCCCCAATTTTAAATTTTCCATGTTTTGTTCTAAATATTACTATAAACCACTTGGTGTTTTTTAAATTATATAGTGGATTATCAATATTTGTTGTAATGAGAAAACACTTCAATTTATGAAAAAAAAAAAACACAAAAAACATTAGCACACAGATCTCACCTTTTCTCTGCCTATGAAATCCAAAAGCCTTCCAGGGGTGGCACACAATATATTACAACCTTGCATTATCTGACGAAGTGAATGACCTGTTTGTGTTCCTCCGTAAGTCACAACTGGTCTTATACAAGTTCTAGGCACAAGAAAATATATTGCATTTCTCATTTAGTGATAATAGTGAACACATTTCAATGTCTCAGTACCCACTTACATACTGACATAACACCATGGCCTTAACAAAGCTGCATTATCTTCTTTTTATTTTGTATTAGTTGCTATCTCCTGTACTATAAATTTAATCTATCAAATATAAAATCCACTGAACAACCACATGCCCTTTGTGCATTTTAACAGGGCTTGAATTCCACATGATGAGGAAAACTCACTGAAAATGCATGGAGACTCTACTGCAGGAGTGTTTGATGGATTGAACCCAAAGTTACGGTACATGATCACATTTTAAACACCCCCTGAAATTGCAAAAAGCATTTTGCTAATCTGATATTGGAATCAAGCAGGCTATTTACTCTTTTAAAAAACACAGCTATCAATATCTGAACACTATTCAATTTTAACAGACTGTTGAATCATTTCTGAAAAAACAAACAAATATAAGAAAATACAACACAATGGCTGTTCCATCAATACTGAATTCCAGAAGAGCATTAAGATATATTGCATGCTAAAGATAACACTGTCACTCTAGTAAGATGTTAACCATTTTAAGTATTGCTTATAGAACAGGGGTTCGACTATATAGGAATTGAATCTGGGATATCTAAAGATATCCAATATTAATTTATACTGGAGTCAGTATACTTCTCTCCAACTCAATTCCCTGAAGGTATGAATTAAGAGTTCCTGAATGGTTATTACTTTTACACATCATTATGATGTAGCTGCTGTGGGGTCACCTGTGGTTTGTTTGGGAGAAACAAACCACAAGCTCTGGTGTGCACATCAATGCTAAGCCAATGCTCTGCTTCATTTTTCTCTTATGAAATACCAGAGGAGGGTTCCACGAATGAGCAGTATGCATCAGCATATATCTGCAATAAAACAGACCATGACTTTCCTACAGATCATGCTTCAATGCTTTCAATACTACTTTATTTCTGATGGAAAGTTTCAGGTGTTTACATTGCCTTCCATAGACCAATGCAAACAAGCCTATTAAATGCATTCTTATAGGGTCAGATCCATCATTTAACATGCAGCTTGTGGAAGCTATTCGCTATGATGTTTAATCTTCAAGAACATATTCAGAGTCATGCAAAGCTGGTAATAGGCCCAGGCTAAATGGGAAATGTAGGTCCCATTTAACCAAAGCCCCCCACCCCATTGCCTCTACCAGGGGTACTTGGGAGTAGGCCTCCTCAAAATCATGAGCCTATGCCAACCGGCCCACCTACCTCCCCCTCTGGTTTTTGCCCTCACATGTTTATCATCAAATTCCCCTTTTCAGTACAGTATACGTATTTATGAAGCAAGCATTTTGCTCATGTCAGAGTAATAAAAGTCAGAATACATTTAGCAATTTGCTTCACCAAACAGGTTCACATTTCACCACACCAACGTTGCAGGGGTTCCTTAATTACACAAACAGCACTTTTACAACCAAAATTCACTTACTAAACACACACTACTATCTTTGAGATTTAGCTTGTTCAAACACTTACCCATGTGCAAATTTTCTTGATTCCAGAAAGATCTGGTTTATCAGTTCTCTAGTTGGAGCTACAATTATACATTCTGGTTGTTGCTGTTGTTCAAATTGAGTGGCAGTAACTCCATCACGCATCATATGAGCCAAAATTGGTATAAGAAAAGCTGCCTAAAGGGCAAATATATTATAGTTGACAAGTTTCTCACCCCCCAAAAAAGGAAAACCCCAGGATGTGTTCTCTAATCTCAGTGTGAAGAAGCCCACAGAAAGGAAAATTAGCAGAACATGATCAAAAATAACTAGGTGACTATGGTCCATCATCTTTCTTTTCCCTCCTTCCTATCAATAAATAAATACATTTCTGAGAGGCAAATTTAGGATAATTCTTGCTTGAATCTTTGTTCCAAGTCCCATAATGAGTAGATCAAAGCACAATACACTAATACGCCAAAAGATGAGGCTGTTTATTCACTTCCGATGGAACTAAAGTATAGACCTAAAGGCGGCAGCAGCAAAGGAGCTGTATTAAAATATTCAACCAGTATACCAAATATGCACATTTTGACAACAAATTAAGATATTCACAGAGCACCTGTACTGGGAAATATGAACCATTGCACCAGTGGACATGACAGGATTCCCCCTTATTTTCCTTCTCCTAACGCTCCAGAACAGATTTTGGGAGGGAAGCAGAGGGTAAGAGTACCAGTAAGTGCTATGTGCCCAAGCAAGGCACCACAACTGAATACTGTCCATTATGTATTTTTCAATGCTATCTGTAACATGCTTAAAGTAGGAAAAACCCACTTTAGCCTGATAAAGTGTTTATTAAGTGAAAGCAACTCTTTTCACAATGAATATAGTTTCTAGTATTTCTAGAAAGTGACACTTATTTTCTTATGTTTGTACGAAGCGAACTTTTTTCTAATAGGTTTTCATAATATAAATTAAGATGAGTTATAGGCACTTCAAAAATATGTTTTTCAAAGACAAAACCAAAATGGGATTTTGGTTGGGACCCAAACATAACATTTGCAGAGAACTTATTTTTGTTGACCCACCATTTAAGACTCCCACAGTTCATTAATGGATCCCTACCAGTGATTCAGAAATCACCGCTTCAAGTCCATCTTGGGAATGGATTGAAGTGCCAAGACAGACTCACCCACTGGGCAAAGTAAATAACCTAGAAATATTAAATGCTTAAAAACCAAGTGTCAGATTATTATTGCGGCCCCAAATCCTCCACCTCAAATAGCAGAATCCCTCATTTTATACTTACTGTTTTTCCAGATCCTGTCTGGGCACATGCCATTAAATCACGCCCTGCCATTATAATAGGAATACTGTATTTCTGCACTGGAGTAAGTTTAAGATATCCAGTTCTAGCAATGTTCTTCATTAATGTTGGACATAGATTAGCTTCTTCAAAGGTCTAAGAACAGAATGGACATGTTAAAAGCAAATAAAATTGAGGAAGCTAAGCAAATCAATACTAGCATCAAAAAAGCACAAAAAGAACATAAAGTAGCATTTTCTTGTTATCCCTAGCAACAAATGAGTAGAAATTAAGTGAATCAGTAGGTCCTTAAGTACTGTCCTTGAAGTACAGAAATATTTTTAAAATAAAAAGGCGGTTCAAAAGTTTTGCAGTCTCTGGAATAGCAAGGCAGAGGCTAAAAAACATCTTTTCTAGGAGAAAGAGTGCCATAACCTAGGGGTTACCACTAGATCTCCTTATGTGCTCTTATTTTTTTAACACAACCTGCAACCTCAAAACTGAGCAGGTGGCCAGACTTAATGATACCTCTAAACCAAGGACTTTTGGATGAATCCATTCTCTTTCTTAAAATAGCAAAGCATTTGTAAACTGTAACCATTCACTGCAGTTTGCAAGACAGGGGGCCTCCTGCAGATAACATCTCTCCAGGAGGTCCATTCTGTATTATGTAGGAAGCAGACCTTTAGCAGGGAAGCACAAACTCTTTGGAATTCCTTCCTGTTACACACAACAGCTGCAGTCTCAATGCCTACTGAAGACCTCCCTTTTTCAACAAGCCTTTTCAGTGAAAAGTCTATCCCAGTCTGTATCAGCTTTGAAATGGTTTATATATGCCTTATTGTTTATGCTTTTATTGTTCAGATGTTATGAAGTATTTCATAGGATGTATCAAACAAACCAAAACTTGGTGACTTTGCACAACTGTTCAGTCTCGAGACTAACTAAGTTACTTGTTAGAAATATTTAAAGCAGCAGCACTAACCAGTATTGCTGGTGGGGGGTCATGTCCTGAAACTTCCACAAGAATGTTATCATATTTGTCAAAGTTTATCCCTGTCTGGTAATGTGCAAAGATGGCTTCTTCTTCTTCTGGTGGAGGTGGTGGTACGTATGTCACCTTTGGACCTGCAAACACAAGAATACAAGTTAAATTTAATCCTTAATAAGCAAGTGTGCTAGCTATACAAAATTTCTCCATTCTGTTATGTTTTGGGCAACATTCACCAATGTCTGCTTGCTTGGTGCACTGGAAATCTGCTTGCAGAATGCAACTTCCAGTTTCAATTCTCCCCCTTCAACCCCCACACTCTGCTCTAGAGTATCTCCCAAACTCTGGAACAGATTCTGGGGGCACATTATGAGCTGCAGGGAGATAGGAGATGAAGGATAAGCCCCACTGCCAGTGCATGTCTACAAGCATTAAGTTGGATGCCACCATCTGAGCACAGAATTTCTAGTAACATACATTTTGGGTACAACACAACCATATCTTCATTTTCACAACCACCACAATCAATTCGTGACAATGCTTTTCAGATTGTTTTACTTGCATTAATTTTCTTTCCTCACTAAAAACTTTAGTGACAAAATAAAATTTGTGGTTTTTTCTAAAATAAAATAGCTAGTGGATCCCTTGAATGCTATGAGCTTCTGGCAAGAAACAGTATGAATAACATGTACTAGTACACTTTAGTCTTCTTCCTTTTATAATACAGTACATACATCTCCAATTATATGCTCAGTGCGCCCCCAGGCTTCGGGGTGCAGGCGGCTCTCCACAAGCTGTGGGAGAGCTGCGCGAAGTTGCGCAGCTCTCCCACGGCTTGCAGATAGCTTCCTGAAGCCTGGAGAGCGAGAGGGGTCGGTGTGCACCAACCCCTCTCGCTCTCCAGGCTTCAGCGAAAGCCTGCATTCGCCCCATAGGACGTACACACATTCCCCCTTCATTTTTGGAGGGGAAAACATGCGTCCTATAGGGCAAAAAATACGGTAATTAAATATATTACTTATCATTTTTGAAAGTACTATTATATTTAAAATCTTCTTCTGTGAAAAAGCAAGAAAAGAAATAGCCATCTGAAAGTGTGACATCTGGATATAATCATAGCCATTTTTTATTCCCAAAAGGTAGGTAGAAATGCTATAGATATTTCAGTCATAATGTGCCATCTGGTATTTTAAAAGTTAAAAGCGGGAGCTGTCTTTATGTTCATGAACATCAGTAATCAATCAATTTTCTTAATATCACTTGCCACTTAATTTGTTCTAATTAAACGTACCAGCACCATCACCTGCTTCTGAATCACCATCCGATTTCCACATACCTTAAGTGAAATGAATGTTTGGAAGAAAACACTATCAGTAATAATAATAATTATAATAAATTTTTATTTATACCCCACCCTTCCTGGTTCAGAAAACCAGGCTCAGGGCAGCTAACAACAAATTTAAAACACTTAATTGATGCAACAAAAAACAGCATAAAATACAGTATAAAACGTGAATAACAATAAATTCAGGATTCAAAAATCAATTTAGGGGGGGAATCCATCCAATAAACATTAGATGATCACCAGGGCTAGCTGGCTAAATTAGTCCTACTTGGGCCAGCGAGGAGACCAGGGGAGAATTAGCTGTGGGATCCCAGAGCGGGTAATATTCATAAAAAGGGGTGGGGGAGGGGAGGAAGGGGAATAAAAGATCAGGCTAAGTTAAAATTGAAAGCCATGCGGAATAGCTCTGTCTTACAGGCCCCGCGGAAGGAAGTTAAGTCCTGCAGGGCCCTGGTCTCATGGGACAGAGCATTCCACCAGGTCGGAGCCATCACTGAGAAGGCCCTGGCCCTGGCGGAGAATAATCTGACTTCCTTAGGGCCCGGGACCTCTAAACTATTATTATTCATGGACCATAAGGTCCTCTGCGGGGCATACCAGAAGAGGCGGTCCTGTAAATACGAGGGCCCTAAGCCACAAAGGGCTTTAAAGGTCAAAACCAGCACCTTTAACCTGACCCGATACTCCACTGGGAGACAGTGAAACTGGTAAAGCACTGGTTGAATATGCTCCCACGGCAGGGACCCCGTGAGGAGCCTCACTGCAGCATTCTGCACCCGCTGGAGTTTCTGGGACAGTTTCAAGGGCAGCCCTGCTTGAGTGAATTACAGTAGTCAAGCCTGGAGGTGGCCGTCGCATGGATCACTGTGGCCAGATCGCGGCGAAGGTGGAGGAAGGAAACAGCCAGATATTTTTTTAAGTTGCTTATATCTAAATAATTATTTATTATTGAAATGTGCATACTGCTTTTCATTCAGAGAATACAGAACACTTTACACAACAATTAAAAAGTACAACACAAACAATTAATATTCCAGAAAGCCATTATCACTAAATTCAAAACTGAAGAACTAGCATTAGCAGCTAGGAAAATACCACAGCAAAGAGTCTTTAATCGTTAGTGAAAGCATGTAACAGTTTATTGCCACCTCTCCACAGGGAATAGTGGCTGCCACAGGGAATTCCTGCTGATATAAAGCAGGTCACAGCACAGCCAACAGGCCATCTCCACAGACCTTAGTGACCAGATGGGAAAAAGTAATTTGAGTAACCTAGTCCTGAGCTGAACCTGTTAAAAGGAAATCCCACACAATATATTACACTAGTTGAATCATCCAGATACAAATCCATGGATCAAGCTATTTCTGTTCAGTAACTGGGCACAGTGATCAAAACCAGTAGGTGCTCCTAGTTACTGAGGTCACCTGGGCCTCTAGTGACAATGATGGCACAAGGACCACCCCTAGAATACAGGCCCCTCCCTTCTTTCCCATCCAAAACAAACAAGTTCCCTACTTGCTCACAGGGTCTCCATCTTATCAGGATTCCCTTTGAGTTTATTGGCCCTCATGCAGGTACCAGCATGGCTCCTCTAAACTGAGATGTGATAGAGAAATAGAGCTGTGTGTCATTAGCCTACTGGTGCCTCAAATCTCCTCAGATTCACTTTCAATGACTTTATATAGATGTTAAATAGTATTGGAGACAATGTAGTATCTTGTTGCCCCCACCCCCATATTACTTTCTGGAACCCAACAAGCAGGAAGGAGATGAACCACTAATACAGTACAGTGACTCCAACACCCCATTATCAGAGAGTCAGTCATGGACAATACCATGGCTGAAGGTCTCAAAAGCTGCCGAGAAATCAATCAAAAGCAGATGATCCAGTAGCTGAGGAATCAGGAACCTAATAGGAGAGCCAGAAGAGGGAATGGCCTGCACACATGTATACCCTCTACACTTACAGTGACCTCCTTCAAGCACCATATATTTCTTTGCCCATGGTGACTGTAACAGGGACATCATAACCATTCTCTCCCTGCTCTCCTTGCCCAGGTATATCCCAATCCAGACTTCCAGTCTGTGAACACCCAACCACACACACCAACAATGCTACACTTCACACACCCAAATATATACCCAAAACTCAATCGCACCAGACACATACCTCTTCCAAACCCTCCAATTACTTCTTCGTTGCTTCCTTTGTAGCCACCTGTTTATAATGTTGAAAGGAATTGTTAAAGATAAAAGCAGTTTTAACAATACAATTAGAAAGGATCGGGCAATTATATTGCAGATCCTTATGCTAGGAATTCAAAGTGAACAGATATGGGACTTGGCCGGATTGAGACAGATTATCAGGCACCAAGGTTAGTAATAAACAAAATAGTTATGCTTAGAGACAAAAAAATGTCAAAATAGAAATGTTTTTATGTGAACGATGGGTTCTTACCTCTGCCTCCTCTGCCTCTATTTTCAGAGTCACCTGAAAAACAAATGCATAATTGGAAGAATGTGGTTACAAATGAAGCGCAATGTAAAACCAATCACCAGTCAATTTATTGGTTTCTAGATTGTGCATGTCTATAATCTACCATTTTAGTCACATCAACTGCCAACCATTCCATGCAATTTTCAAATCAATACCACCACAGAGACAAAGGGAATAAAGCCAACTATATATATAAAATTTCACTTTTAATTCTTACCGGTTGAAGCACCAAACCCTCCTCTTTTGGAACCAAATCCACCAAAAGTCTGTCTTCTATCTTGTTTCTCAGTTTCATCATCTGTTATAATTCAACCCAAACATAAGGATTTCTTCTGTTTTACAAGTTGAAAAGGTTTTCATGCAATGGTAGAATATAAATATTTTAAATGTTAAAAGCAACTTTTCTAAAATAGCACTCTCCAGCCCACATGAACTACTAGTATTTAAAAAACAACTACTGTACTAGCATTAAAAAATACATCTTACCAAATAAAAGAATTATAATACAGACTGATATTAAATGAATAAAAACTTAAATCATACCTAATTCCCTCAAATACTGAAAAAGTGTATTTTTGAAAGTGTTGAGTTCATAGTTCACCTTACATTAATTACCAGGGATAGATCAATTTGAAATAAACTTGTACTGTGGTTCTTTTCTTTTATTCTTATAAAATGCATGGGTTTAAGTTATTAAGAAACGCTGCCACATTTTCTTCATACCACTCATTTGTATGTGAGTTCTCTCCTAGACGTGCACTGAGATATTTCCCCCTATATCCTATGCTCATTTCGCCATGTAATCCTTATCTTCTTCTGGTCCAACATTACAATTTAAAAAGTTTATATACATCTGGGATAAAAACAAATATTGGTCTTAATCTGTTGGTAACTAATGACTCTTCAAGACAGTGAGTCCATGTAAAGGCTTTTTTCCTCCCCAAATAAGAGTATTTGTATAAGGTATCAAAAACAAAATCTTAACCACAAAACCCATCTGACATATTTTCATTTCTAGACTCTCCAGGCTAGACTGAATAATTACATTTTACTTGGTTACTAACACAATTAAAAACTATAGAGCTTACTTCCAAATCGCCCAAATCCTCCTCTGCCAGATCCTCTTCCACCCCTATTGCCACCAGCAATCATTCCTTGAGAACAAAAATACAACAGTATTTGATCAATAATTTTCTGATCTTAAAAGAACTCATGTTCCAAAACCAGCAAGGAAGAAAAAGCAAGCATGGGAATTCTAAGCTTTGTTGTTTATAGGGCTTTACCTCCTCTCCTAGGAACTTCTCTGTTTGACTGGCTTTCTTGATCATCATCAACTACTTCTATGACAAAAATAAAATAAGCAATAAAAAATTCTCATTTCTGCAGACACTTAAAAGTCATCTTAAGGATGTAAGCAAAGCTCACATTTATCTTTCAATTTATTAAAAAACAGGTGTTTATTATTATTAAATTTGTACACCGCCCTTCATCAGACAATCACAACTTATTTCTCTATACCAAACATGTGCAAATATTATTGTACTATTGCTGGGGTTATATATTTCCTCACAAAAGCGACAGCACGCTGAGGTCCTGAGCTGTATAATGCTATACGGTCAAAACTAGCACTTTGAACTGAGCCTGGAAACTGATAGGCAAGCAGTCATGTCAGAATTGCTATTTTATGTTCAGACCGTCTTGCCACAATCAACAATCTAGCCAAATTCTGCATTTTCCAAACCATCTTCAAGGGCAGCCCCATGTATAATACTGTACATTGAGGCTGCATTTTAATATTTTAATGTTTCAATATTTTAATTTTGTATTTTAATCTTGTTTTTAAGTTGTATTCATTCAACTTGTTTTTATTATTGCTTGTTAGCCGCCCTGAGCCCGGCCTTGGCTGGGGAGTGCGGGATAATAATAATAATAATAATAATAATAATAATAATAATTACATTGCAGTAATCCAACCTAGGTTTCCAGAGCTTAGCCATCTAGAAAAGTATCGTGGTCAATTTTATCAAAAGTTACTGAAAACTCAAGGAGAAATAACAGGAGTGCACTTCTCCTGTCCCTCTCCCAACAGAGGTAATAATACCAGGCAACCAAGGCCGTTTCCATGGTAAAACAGGGGCTATACAGTACATTATAACTGTCTTGCTTTGTATTTAGTCTAGAAAATATATTTTAATGAGATTTTAAAGTATTTCAACTGATAGAGGACTCTGCGGAGGGTTGCAACTGTACCTCTCTCAAAGCTTGAAAACTTCCTATCTTCAAATCTATTTCCAGATGTAGCTGTAGAAAGCAAGAGAAAGGCAAGTGTTCTACAATTCCATTCACTCGCATTTCAAAGCACACATGAACATTTTAAGTAGCCCTGAGGAACATTAGCATTTATTCCCAGAATTTCTATCCCTCACTAGTGCCTGTCCTTCCCTCTTCTTGGCCCATTGTCTCCACTGGCCAACTATAATTAATACATATTTAATATGGCAGAGAAACAGGTAAAGTCACATGACTATATTGCATTCCAAAAGTAAACTGCTTATTTTCTACTTTTTGATACATTCTTAGCACAATCCAATGCACATCAACTTAGAAGTAAGCCCTACTGGATTCAGTGGGGCAACTCCCAGGTCCATGGGGCTAGAACCTCAAATTGATATTTCGCTCCCCCTTCCCTGGCAAAAAAGACCCTACAATACAATGCAATGGTTCTCAAAATGTGGTCCATAGAAGAAGAGGAGGAGGAAGAGGATGATGAGGAGGAGGAGTTTGGATTTGATATCCCGCTTTATCACTACCCGAAGGAGTCTCAAAGCGGCTAACATTCTCCTTTCCCTTCCTCCCCCACAACAAACACTCTGTGAGGTGAGTGGGGCTGAGAGACTTCAAAAAAGTGTGACTAGCCTAAGGTCACCCAGCAGCTGCATGTGGAGGAGCGGAGACGCGAACCCGGTTCCCCAGATTACGAGTCCACTGCTCCTAACCACTACACCACACTGGCTCTCCATAGACCACTAGAGGTCTACGAGCTTTATCCTGGTGATCTGCAGCATGTCTGCATTAAATATTTATGTTGATTTTAACTGTATCTTTGTTTTTATTGTATTACAAGAAATAAAAGCAGCAATAAAAATTAAATTAAATGCAATTAATTTGACACAATGTATTACAATTGCTACAACTGGCAGAAAAATCATTAAGTGGTTCAACAAGACCCTCAGCAATTTTCCAGCACTCCATAGAGGAAAAGGTTTGGAACCATAGGTAAAAAGATATAGAGACACACGTTTCAGTTGAACCAGAATGAATACTCGAAGCATCCTCGTATTAAACATTACACTGATTTCAATTATCATGATTTACATTTACCATTAAGAACATCTTTTTATCAAATTACACTATCAGCTCTCTCACGAAATGCCTTAATTTTTATCAAATAACTTTATGCACACTAGAGCTTTTTCAAAGTTACTGAAGCAATTAGAACTATTTGACCAAGTTAGTTCAACATTTAAAAGCGTGGTTAGGATTAAGATAAAATTGCAGATGCCAGCAACAACCAACACCTGCATGTGATAAACACAAGTTTGACCAAACAATCTACCTCGGTTTCCAAAAGTCCTTCCACTTCCAAATCCACCTGTTGGTTTGTCTTCTCCATTTGGTTTTCCACCAACACCTGACAAATGTTAAAATATTTGTTTACCACAGATGATTACTTTCTTTACTTTGTTTAGATATACAGTGGTACCTTGGTTTAAAAACAGCCCTGTTTACCAACTATTCGGTTTACGAACTCTAAAAAACAGGAAGTAGTGTCCCGGTTTGCGAACTTTACTTCGGTCTAAGAATGGAAGCCGAATGGTGGAAGGGCACTGGCGGCAGGAAAGCGCACCTAGGTTTAAGAATGGTTTTGGTTTAAGAACAGACTTCTGGAATGGATTAAGTTCGTAGACCAAGGTACCACTGTACTGAAGACTGTTCAGTATGAACTGGTTTGCATAAGATGGTAAGCTAATGTGCAGTCTCCCAGAGGGCCCAGCAGTCACTTTGCTCTTCAGTTGTCCTTTTCACTGTCAAGCTGTGTTGAACTGAACTAAGACAAGGTTTACAGCTTGTGATTAGCAAGAAGAGAACTATGAACTCTAGCTTTAGCTCAGCACAGTGCAGAAGTAAGGACTAGTGAAGAGCAACGCTGCTACAATCTCCTATGAGAGTCCAGACATTGGTGTGGCCTCAACAAGAAATAGTTTGGCCTACTGTGTTGCAAGCCTGCTCTATGGCTCAGTTCAGACATTGATGCAAAACAATTACCGTACTCACCTCACTGCAATGCTTTCTTATTACAACATGTTGCTAAACTTTGATCTAGTACTAATAGCAGAGATTAGCACCCAACTTGTGTGCCTGTCTACCCTTGCACTGCCATCCTTTGCTTAGCGGGAAACTTGCTTGTACTTCTGACAATTATTTAATGTTATTTCTGAATGCAGTCAATGGCTGCATTTAGTTAGGCCTTATCTTGACTTAATACAGCCATTTTTCTCTTCCCTTTACATAACCAGGGAATTTTTTTTACAGCTTACACTGCAATCCTAATCTTTGCCTACTCAGAATGCCTACTGAATGCAATGGGGCTTACCCACAGGTATATGGAGCTAGGATTGCAGCCCAGGTTTCCCTTCAAACTATGATGAATGGCTTCCAAACAAGCCAAACTATGAAGCCAGAGCCTAAAACTGGCTTTATATTCTTGCTTGTTTGAAGTAAGGAATAGTGAGCTTCCAAATTAACTAATGACTTCTTGTGCAGTTGTTCAAAGGTATATGTGTGCACACCTGGCTCACAACACAATGAAAGAACTCACTAAGTGATGTTAGCCGCCCTGAGCCCAGTCTTGGCTGGGGAGGGTGGGGTATAAATAAAAAATTACTTACTATTTACTAAGTATCTCCTATGCCCTTTCCCATACAAAGCCGTCTATGTAAATGCTCTGACCCACATACCAAAGGGATCTCATCTCCCTATCTGGCCAGCAGTCATTCTCGCAACAGCCAAAATTAGGCTTCATAAAACTCACCTAGTACAGCTGATCAGAGGCTTTTTTTCTAAACTAAACACTGCATGGGCAGCCATTTCAGGGGAAGGGTCACAGCTGAGATGGTGATGGATGAAAATGTTAATCTTCTTTCACCCTGTACTGTGACTTCCGTCTCCCAAAAATAGGCACCCCTGTTAAGCTTGTATTGGCTCCAATAAGAACACCTTTTCCTAACCTAATTGTAGCAGAAAAGGGAAATTAATGTGCAATACTGGATGTGTGCATGCATGCATGCTACATGTGTTTGCATGTGTAACACAATGTAGGGTGGCCCCACCCATGTTAATTTAGACCATGCCACCACTGGCATATGGCCCCCAGAAAGCTGGTCTTTGGGGAATGCAGCCTTCAGGCTGAAAAAGGCTCCCCACCCCTCCAACAGGCAAAAAGAATTTTTAATTTTAAAGTGTTCAGGGAAGTATCATAGCATCACTCATGGCCACAACTGTTTTCCAAAACCACTATACATGCAGTGAAGACACATACCAACATTAAGTTACATTACTGTGCCCAATGAAAAGCAAAAGGTGTGCATGTACAACATTAAGAGACATATTTAGAGAGCCCGATATGATTTATATTTCCTAGAACACAAATGGGAAGGAATATACAGAAATATATACCTCCAAACGTACGACCCCAAGGAGCTGCATTTTCAGTGGAACCACGTCCTAAAAAGAAGTTATTACGTTGGACATTTTGAAGATGTTCATAAGGTACATGTTCAGAAGTACAGTTAAATATTAACAGATCTTCTGAAAAGTCAAATACTTATGAAAAGGTAAGCATAAAACTATTAACAAGCTGGCAGTGGTTCAATGCACAAACTTTCAAATGACAAAGTATAATAAATTATAATAATGACATAACCTTCTGGCTTCGCATACTAAGTATCTTAGAGCATAAATACCCAACAACATCTACTTACCTTTAACCACTTTGCCAATATTCTTGGGGGTTTAATTTAGCTATTACCTGTATTCTTCTATTGTGCTGAGTATTTAAATATTAAATATTTAAATATTCATGCAATTAAACATCTTGGGAACTAAATTCACATTGGTTGCAATAAACACAAGTAATTATCCATAAACTGCCATAATGGGGGAAGGAGGGAATCCTTAAGAATTACTCAGCATTCTCAACAAAAGGTATAAATATCTGACTCTCCATTCAAGGAAAAAATCCTAGATGAATGGACTTTTTAGGACCAACAAAAAATCAAAGCAATGTGCAGACTACTTCACAAAGCCCGTTTGTTCTCCAGGTGCAGTCTAACTCAGTATGCAGCACACTTCTATACAGGTTTCCTTAGAAGTGTTCAATGAAGCTTCGGACTGTAGCTCAAGTCCACAAACTATCTCTACATTGTTAAAAAGTGCCAATTCATGTAACATCGTGCAAATAGGGGCTGGTACTAAATAAATAATAACTCACTTCTTACAGAACACAGAGGGAGAAAACTGAGTTTCGTAAGTCTGATCTTTTTAAGAAGCAAACATAATTTATTCAAAACTTACGTTTCATCAATCTAGATCAGGCATAGGCAAACTCCGGCCCTCCAGATGTTCTGGAACTACAATTCCCATTATCCCTAGCTTACAGGACCAGTGGTCAGGGATGATGGGGATTGTAGTCCCAAACATCTGGAGAGCCAGTGTTTGCCTATGCCTGGTCTAGATGGTAGCACTGATTGTAGGTAGCTGGCTACAGTGTTCCAGATTAATCAGACAGTAGTTCTTAATGACTATTTTTCTCCTTAATAGAAGCATTCAAAATAATATAGGTAGCAGACTTGATACTGTAGAAGAGGAATTAAATTATCCTTTCTAACAGCAGGAAAATTGCCTCCAATATATTTCCTGCTGCAAATAAGTTTCCTCTCTTAAAAAGTAAAAATTGTTTTCTTCACCATTACTGTTTTATTCAATTGCAAATTTATGCAGACCAATTAAAAAGGATCAACAACTTATATTTAGCCCAATTCACTCTACAGCCCAGCTGTAGGGCTTTCAAACCCCTCAGGTGAACTTAATTTCAACAATACCATAATTAAACTCATAGCTGATCTCATACAAGGCTTCATAGTCAACCCAATTTAACAGGCTTCAACTGTTAGGAACACTTGACTACAAAGTTTTTTGTACCAGCTTTTTTCTAGACAGAATATTCCTTTTCAAAGTCTTATCACATACCTGGGGGGGTTGCATTCTGATTGAAATTGCATGAGGTTTCATTTGCTCCTGTAATCAAGCTGCCCTACAATAAAATAAAAATAGTTTTACTATTTGTACCATTTGACTGGGTTGCGTGAAGAGTTAAGACCATGCTGGAACTACTATACCAACCATTCCCCCCGCCCCAAATATAGTCTACTAGAGCCTTGCTTTTAACCACTCAACTGTTCACCAGAGGATTTCAGAGTCACATTTTTTTAAAAAATTGGTAGAAGGATAGAGTGTCCAAGCCTTACTCAAGCAACCCACAATGTGTCTATGTTTGGCATGGAGAAAGACACTTTTCCTACACCCTGCTTAATATAGCAGCGAAGGAAAACTTCTGTAGAAAGGGATGGCGCATTTGATGCCTCCAGCTGTCTATTGTGTTTTTATATTTTTAGATTTCTTTAATCAATTGTTATCCCACTCTTCCTCCTAATGGAGTCTGTAGCAGTAAGACTCCTCATAAGCATCCAGCAGGCAAACCTTCTGCATGAATAGCAGAAAAACAAGGCATGCTAGTAAAGATGGGGAAAAAGCCATCTGTGCATTTGACACCAACCTAAGCATCTATGCTAGAAGCATGCAAGGCACAGCAGCCCCCTGCACATCCAGCCCAAGTACAAGCAGAATGACTTGCAGCAGAGACAAAAATCACATCATTTCTCCACTGCACTTCTACACTGCACATGTAGAAGAATGAGGCCTCTTCCTGCATGCTCAGCATATAAACATAGAAGAGCTGCTCACATGGATAGTATAGTACGGGATCAAATAATCCATGAAAAAATATCCCCTTCTATTCCATGAACGTTCAAGCCACCATCCACATAACAGATGCTTGGGGCAGGGGGAGAGAGGAGAGGAAGAAAATAAATCAAGGTGACAGCGAAGTTCAGAGACAAAATAAGGCAATAGCTCAATCCTCTGCATGCTTGCTTGTAACGAAGTCAAAATCAAATAAAAGTGTTGCATTCTTAAGTTAACTCTGTATAGAAGTGCATCCTAAAACTGCATCCAAAGAGCAGCTTCCAACCGTGATTATTCCTCAAAAAAGCAAAGTGAAAGTACCTAAGAATTATAGGCTTTGTCTACACATGTGTAGCATGAAGTAGGACTGCAAATACAAAAGTAGAATAGCCTGTGCCATTTCAAAAAAACCCCTTTCCTGCTAATAAGAAGATGACTAGGCCAAAATATCTCTCCTTAATGTACACTAGTTTACTTCCAGGGGAGATCAGTTCATATTACAGTCAAGCAGTATCTAAATGTTCCCTAAATGTTATCAAAACAAAACCAGTAAATAAAAACACGGCACTCTCAAGTGGGTCTTTAAAAGTCCTGGAGCTCAATCAATAGAGTTGCCATGCATCCAGAATTTCCCAGAAATAGCCGGCAATTGGCTGCTGGAAGCAGCGTCCGGGCGCAATTCACTGAAACTTGTGGGAAAATCTGCATGTATGATAACCAATGCTGACAGTGTCATTTTTGGAAATTTTTCTTTAAAATTTAAAATATCTCAAAAAGTTCAAAAAATAAAATAAAAAGCTCAAAAACTTTTCCGTCTGGATTTTCACTTTTTGAAATATGGCAACCCAATGGAATCTCCTCTCCCATTTTCCCACCAACCCACTCACACCCAAAGAGACACATTTACAGAACTACAAAGCAATGAGGAATGAGGAACCACCTCTTCACTCATCCTGATTTGTGGATTCCCTGGGCAACCCACCAGCTTTTCGAAGCTGGGCTGAAAGTGGGGCAAAGCACTCCTGCCACCTCCGCCCGTGGTACTGCTCCTGTTGACATCTGTGATCTCCTCGTCCCAGTCTTCCTCCTCCATAGTGGTACCCTCAGATATAACCTACTCCGAATCGGCCCTGTGATTTGGGAGAGGGGGAACCGAGAACACGTGAAACAAGAACAGCGGAAGAAGCGGCCTCTCTTGAACCCCAACGCCACGTTCGCATCACCTCAGACTGAACTACTGGCTGCCGCCCCCCCATGGGCGTAGTCAAGGGGGCAGGTGCCCCCAGAATATTTAATTAACCAATTACATCGGTCCTGCTACGCCCATACCCACCCCGTCCAAAGCCTGCCCCACCCCGCAGCTCTCCTCCCCACACCTGTCCCAGGCCAACGCCCCTTTTCTCTGCCTTCTCACTCCGGCTTCAAGCAGCCCGCCACGAGGCGGGGCCCGGCCGACGGACCTGTTCCCGCCCAAAGCGCGGCTCACACACTACCGCTACCCCGTCTTCTCCCCGTCGGAAGGGGAGAAGGGAGGCCGGACCGTTAACCCCGCCCAGCGAGCGCCGGCCCGCGCGACGGCTCTATTAACGCCTCCCCTGACGCGAACGGAACGCCTCGTCACCTACCAACCAGGCAGCACGTGCCGCAGCTGCCGCCGCCGCCGCCGCGGCTCTCGCTGCTATTGCTGCTTACCCTCCTCAGCCCCTCCCCCCCTCCGTACGCGCGCGCACTCGCCCTCTCCGCTGCTCCAGCCCCTTGCCGGGGCTTCGGTCACGTGTCGCTTTCGCCTTCGCTGCCTTCCTCACCTCCCCGCAACACCCCCGCCAATAGCAGGGCCGCTGGGGCTCAGGAGAGCTGCTCAAGGCGCGGGAGAGGGGAGGTTAGGGCAGTAGCGTAAAAAAAAAGGAGCTCCCAGCCTGCGCTTCTGACGTAGCGCACCTCACCCCCGTTCCTTTTTTTTTTTCCTGCGAGAGTTGCGGTTTGTCGCCGACGCCGCGCGCGCGCGCGCGCATTCAGGGGGAAAAAAGACGAAGACTTTGCCCTCAGGGTGTTTCCTAGCAAACTTTGTTTGTTTGCTTGCCTAGGACGCAAAGCGTTCTCAGGACGATCAAACACGCGTGTGCTTTATTTGGAAATCAAGCCCCGTCGATTTAAGCGGGACTTGGTGCATCCGCTCTTGGTTAAGTGTCCATAGCACGGCAAAGCCTTTATACTTTTGCCAGCTTTCCTGCTGCTGCTGGTGGTTTTGGTTTCGTTTCTTTTATTCCTGGAAAAACGAAAGTCTCGCTGTGTCTGAAGTTTCGTTACTTCGTTACTCCCCACAGGCTTCTGGTTCTGGAGTTCATTCCGCCCCATTGCAGGAAGGGCGTGCGTGGCCGTCTGAGGCAACAGGAGGGGACAGCTTGGTGCTAGTTAATTATTTCTAGGACTCTGAAAAGTTCCAACTTTCTTGGCTTCAGTTCTACGTTACCTTAAAAAAACAAACCCCAAACCTGCTGCCACAATAGGGCTTGTTTGTTTTAATTTTTGGAACCTGCCAGGTGGTATCAGTCGACGTCTCCTCAGAAGGAAGTCCCTCTTGAGTTGCTCCCAAGTTACGCACAGGATGGTAGCTTCAACAAGAAAAGACCTGCTGAGAAGTGAAGTGGGAGACATAGTGTGCTATTGAAGACAAGCTGGGCTCAGCTACATCCGGTACAGTATTCCCAAATCGGCCCCAAAATTGTGAAAGGCACATTTGTTATAGGAATTCTAAGGTCTTTTATTTATATATATAAAATAAATGTTCATAAATGTACAAGGCAAACACATACATAAGTATATAAACCATAGTACAGAAATAGTACAGGAGAACAATCCTGAAGCCATTTTGACTCTCCCAAATTGACCTCAAATATTTCTCTGCAAGGAGGAAAGAAATGGGAAAAGCTTTCCGATTATATTTGAATTGTAGGGGCTTACACCTCCCTGTGGCGGGTGGCGCTGTGGGTAAAACCTCAGCGCCTAGGACTTGCCGATCGCATGGTCGGCGGTTCGAATCCCCGCGGCGGGGTGCGCTCCCGTCGTTCGGTCCCAGCGCCTGCCAACCTAGCAGTTCGAAAGCACCCTTGGGTGCAAGTAGATAAATAGGGACCGCTTACTATCGGGAAGGTAAACGGCGTTCCGTGTGCTGCGCTGGCTCGCCGGATGCAGCTTGTCACGCTGGCCACGTGACCCGGAAGTGTCTGCGGACAGCGCTGGCTCCCGGCCTCTAGAGTGAGATGAGCGCACAACCCTAGAGTCTGGCAAGACTGGCCCGTACGGGCAGGGGTACCTTTACCTTTACCTTACACCTCCCTGTAAATACAGTCTGGTAAGTATCTGTTAAGCTGAGCACACTATCAATATGCTTAACAGATTCAGGAACTAAGTACCGTATTTTTCGCTCTGTAACACGCACCCGACCATAACACACACGTAGTTTTTAGAGGAGGAAAATCCGTAGGCATGCCACCCGTAGGCATTCCCTCCATAACACGCGCAGACATTTCCCCTTACTTTTTAGGAGGAAAAAAGTGAGTGTTATGGTGCAAAAAATACGGTATTTACCATCTCAAAGGAATGGCCAGGATGCCCAGAAAAGGCAGTCAGATAAGGCATTATCAGGTATCCTGGCAGACAGGAAAGAAGCAACACACTCATTTCTGCTGGGGACCACCTCTTCCTATGATGTATGTATTATGTTTTGGGGGATGGTCTTGAGCTACAGGGTAGGCAATTTCAAAAGTACATATATAAGAGTGGGGGACCCTGTCTCAACAGTTTAATAAAGATCATGCTTACTAGCTGCTTTGCTTCTCAGTACTCTGGTTTGCCTCTGCTATTTTCTCCTACTGATAGAAAACCTACATCTATTTGGGTTCTTGGATACCCATAAGGGATAAAGGAGCAGTTTTTCCTTATAACACACTAAAACCACAGTTTAAAGCAGAGGCAGAGGAAACAGCGGGAGCAAACATGAAAAGAGTGAAAATATAAGAAGGACCAATGTGCAAGATCTGATTTACTGTATAACAGGGAAGGCTCATGAGTGTGCTTGTACACCACCGCTTCCTGCTCTGTGAAGGTTCGCTGCAGACGTGTAAAGTCACTATGCCAATAAACACAACTTCTGGTGAAGGGAACAGGATAAGACTTGCTACTTGGTGCAAAAATGAGATGTTCCTTTGTCCTAGCAAACCTTGGCGCAACCTGAAATAGTTTGGGAGCTGGGCCTAAGGCTGCCAGACAGCTGCCTGCACTCCATTAATAATACAAACTATAAATGTTGGAACTTTGACATCATGCCCAGGTGTCCATCTCCTCCCTCTTTGATTTACCTATAATGTAGGTAGATAGGAGGTCTGGAGCATTCAAAAGCTTGCTATTTTGTGATACTTTGGTTGAACCTAATGAAGGTATTGCTTTACAATGGTTTTTTAATTATTTCTACTGGACTAGCACAACTCCTTTTGATTCTCCTCCATCCCCCTTGCTAAGGAATTTTTACCTGTCTGACATAAAAGCCAGATGCACTGCAGGGCCATATTTTGCCAGTACTGTAATAAAGGCGCTGGCCACTTTTGTTGGCAGACTGAGCATGTGCCGTGGAACTGCAACTGCTTTGCTAAGGAAGATGAGTAAGTTATATTTTGGGAAGGTTTGTCTTCTATAAGTTCTAAGCAACCTGAGTTCCCCAGAACTCAGTTTAAAGAAGTTCGTATAAACTTCTGTCAACCACCCTGAAATCTTGTGATGAAGGGCGGCATGTAAATTAATTAAATAAAATTATTAATAACAATACTAATAAATTTAATAAATAAATAATACAGGGGTGAAAGTATACCTAGAGCATTTATTGTTAGGAGTGCCACCTTCTTCAGGCAGGAGAGCATTTAACAGATTGGATGCAGAAATTCAAACTACTTCGTATAAAAAGTTCTGCTGGTTAAGCATTTATTTTACTTTTAGTACATGTTCAAAGGCATATGAATAATTCCAGGAAAATGTGACAATCCCCTCTATGCCTATTGAGATGACAGCTTTTTCCAGCTGGACTCCCAGGAAGTATTTTCTAGTTAAGTTCTTCAGCAGGAAAAGCTTCACCTCACAGACTGCCACTGAAGGGGTGAGATTCCTGCCAATAAAAAGATTGGTAAGTCTAGGGCTAAAATGGGTGGGGTGCCTGTGGTTATAGCCTCAATCAACCTTTGTCAAACATGTGAGAGTTCATATATTGAGGGAGGATATGTGTCATGATAATGTCCCTGGACTGATGTTGCAAAAGATTGCAGAAAATAATTTTGCAGTGTTAAGAGTCTTTTACTGTAACACATGACACATTTAAGAATTGCTGACACGGATGTAATTTCCTCCTAATCACAAAAAACATGTTCAGAATTATAGTTAGCATTGCAGACTCTAGCAAGTGGAGCCCTAGAGCCTAGAACAGCGGTTCCCAAAGTGGTCTGGGAACCATGGTTTGTGAGCTTCAGTCAGGTAATCTGTAAATAACATTTACAATTTTGAATTATATGGTATTCAAAGTATACTACAATAAAATGCAATTTAAAAAAATAAAAGAAGCAATTAAAATGATAATGCATCTAACACAGGCATAGGCAAACTCTGGCCCTCCAGGTGTTTTGGGACTACAATTCCCATAATCTCTGACCACTGGTCCTGTTAGCTAGGGATGATGGGAATTGTAGTTCCAAAACATCTGGAGGGCCGGAGTTTGCCTATGCCTGATCTAGCACATTGAATTACAATTGCTACAACAGGAGAAAAACTGTTTGGTGGTCTGCCAAGTGGCCCAGTTCAGTGGTTATCAAACGCCAACCTGCCACACGCACACTTAAAAATTGTTGAGAGTTTTGGCAGACTGTTTAATGATATTTTCCTGTTTGCTGAATTGTGCTGTGCTTGATGCTGCCTGATTTTTATTCATATTTTTACACTCAGTTTTGTGGTTTAAGCTACTGATGAATATGCAGTCTTAATCACCACCATCCTGATTATAGTTGGTTTCAGCCAGACAGCAGAAGTTGATGACTTTCAGAGAATTCAAAGCACAATTTTACAAAGCAGTTTAGGCAGCTCAAATTAAATATAAGACCTATTAAATGGCCCAAGGTAAACTATTCAGTTCTGATATTTGACAAATTTGTTCTTTATAAAATGCTTTTAAAATGTCTCCAGCTTTGCAGGAATGGCTTTATATATGTGTGGTATGGATCTCTTCAGCAATTCAATACTCTCTATTACTACTTTGTCTCTGGCCATCTGCTACTTTTACTCACTTTTGGTTCTGACTGGCTCCTTTTGCCAGCTAATTGGCAGGAAAGAATTCAACTGGCCAAAGTAGCAGTACTGTGATGAGAAAGCATGCACTGTTGAATTTCTGCCAGTCATGCAAAACTTAAAGCTGGAGATTATGATGATAATAATAATGATAATAATGTACACATAAACACCTACTGCTTATATGCCAAAATGGCTTCTAAGCAGTTTACAACAATAAAATCAGATACTCAGGTTGGGGGTGTTATTATTTATTGCATTTATATACCAACTTTCTGCCGAGGTGATGTACAGTTTTGTACTAAAACAAAACATGTATCAATATAGCCTGGGGCTGAGGGTGCAACAGCTCAACTAAAGCAGACCCTGACACTGTATTGTCTTTACCTTTCTGCCTCACTCTCTTCTACTTACATTGGAAGCATATTTCTTTGTGGAACCCAGCAAAAAAAATCCACATGACTGCTTCTTGTACGCAGCAAAATGTGCTCTTCACTAATAAGGATTGTTCTTCACTGGAAAAAATCATTGGTTGCATAACAGATTCACCTTGGCAATTCTCCACAAGAAGGAAAAACAATGTGCAAGTTTGCTTTTCAGCTCTTAAGTCTGAAGTATATACTAGAGTGTGTACTTTTAGTATATTCAAGTGTCAGCTCAGCTGAATGGTGGCGGTTAGTATATAAAAAACATGTGTATGAGTTTTTGTGCTGCATAATTTATTGATTTATTAAATTTGTATACAGCCCTTTATCTACAGATCTCAGGGTAGCTGGCAATATAAAAATACAAAATACATGATAAAAACAAGAATTAAAACAACAACAACCCATAACCTCTCCCGCATCCCACATCCCACATTTAAAATGGGTATCGGATAGTAATCAGCCAAAGGCCTGGCTGAAGAAGAATACTTTCATCTGGCATCTAAAGGTATATAATGAAAGTGTCAGCCAAACTTTCCTGGGGAGAGCATTCCACAAGTGGGGTTCCACTGCGGAAAAGGTCTCATGTTGCCACCCTCCAGAATTCTTGTGGAGGCATATGAAGAAGGGCCTCAGAATATGATTGCAGAGTCTGGGTTGGTTCATCTGGAGAGATGCAGTCCTGAGCCATTTAAGGCTTTATAGGTCAAAACCTGCACTTTGAATTGAACCCAGAAGCTAATTGCCAGTCAATTATAAAATGCATGTTGCTGTTACAAATAGATCAAATAAAATTAATTTGACTGAAAACAATAAAACAGCAAAGAAGACATTGTAGTGGTGGCTCGGTTCACCAAGCACTGTAAACCAGACTAGCTGCCTGGGGCCATGTATGGGCTCCTGGAGAGGAACCTTCAGCTGATTTGTTTTCTTCTCCCTGGTCTTTTTTAAAAAATGAACCTTGGCTCAGTGTGGTTGCAAGTACAAAAAGGTCCAGGGAGAAACAAAGCAGCCATGAGTTCCTTCCTGGGAGCTCACAGGTTCACGTAGTTCCAGTAAGTCAAAGTTTGACTTGCCTTGTTGTACAAAACAGGCCAGTATAGCTCTTCCTTTCCGGTGTTGGTTGCTGCCTGTGGAGACGTGCGAAAATGGCACCTCATAAGGGCAAGGAAAAGAAGGAAGAACAGGTAATCAGTCTGGGACCACAGGTGGCTGAAGGAGAGAATGTGTTTGGAGTCTGCCACATCTTCACTTCCTTCAGTGAGACTTTTGTCCATGTAACTGACCTGTCTGGCAAGGAAACAATCTGCTGAGTAACTGGTGGCATGAAAGTGAAGGCTGACAAGGATGAGTCTTCTCCTTATGCTGCTATGTTGGCTGCCCAGGATGTAGCTCAGACATGCAAGGAGCTGGGAATCACTGCCCTTCACATCAGGTTGCAGGCTACAGGTGGAAATAGAACAAAGACTCTTGGGCCTGTAGCCCAGTCAGCCCTCAGAGCTCTGACTTGATCTGGCATGAAGATAGGGCGCATTGAGGATGTCACCCCGTCCCTTCAGGCAGCACTCGCAGAAAGGGTGGTCGCCATGGTCACCATCTGTAAACAGTAGCAGTTATTTTTCATCTTTAAAGCTTTCCAATAATAATAAAAACAAGCCAGCCAGTACATATAAAAAAAGATTAAAATACAGAAACCCCAAAGCCAGAAATAACATAGAAAGCTAGGACACTTATTTCTGTAATTTAGAAACTTAACAGGAATCCCTCCAGACAGAAATAATGTGACAACACAGGGAAAGCTTTGCAGAACTAATAAAACAGACTGATGTGCTGACAATTATAAATCCACCACTAATGCGCTGTTAACGTATCAATTACATGTTGCAGAATACACCACCCAAAGCAAAATAAACAGTCTGGAGGGATCCTGTGTAGAAATCCAGGAAGATTTTATTGCAGTTATTTGCAAGGAGCATATTTCCCCACACACTCCTCAAAAAGTAGAAGCAAAGCAGAAGTCTGCTTGTGTGGGAAAAAGGTGAGGTTTTAAAGTTCTTTTAATTTGTGAATGCTTCCTGTGCTAGAAGGTAGAGTCCTTAAGTAGGTTCTTTATCGGTAGGAGAAAATAACAGAGGCCAACCAGAGAATATTGAGAAGCAAAGCAGCTAGTAAACATAATCTTTATTAAACTGTTGCAACAGGGTCCCCTGCTCACCCCACACAGGGAGGTAGGAGAGGAACCTAGAACAATGGTATGAAAGCTCTTATATAAACATTTGAAAATTGCCTCCCCTGTAGCTCAAGACCACCCCCCAAAACATACATACATACATCACTGAGGCCTACAGCAGAAAACCTGTCTGCCAGGATACCTAATAATGGTCACTGATTGCTTTTACCTGGGCATCCTGGCCATTCCTTTGAGATGGTAAATACTTAGTTCCTGAATCCCATACGCATACTGATAGTGTGCTCAGCTTAACAGATACTTGCCAGACTGTATTTACAGGGAGGTGTAAGCCCCTACAATCCAAAGACAATTGGAAAGCTTTTCCTATTGCCTTCCTCCTTGCAGAGAAATATTTGAGGTCAATTTGGGAGAGTCAAAATGGCTTCAGGGTTGTTTTCCTGCACTATTTCAGACACGTGGTTTATATACTTACATATGAGACCTTAGAATTCCTATAACAATATTATGCCTATATCGCAAGGGTGGGAATTAACAGTGGCATATAAAAACCCTGCAACATAGTTTAGCATTGTCATCTCCTTATTGCAAGCTGAATGGGGTGGAGGCTGTGTCACATAAGAATAGCCTTGAAATATTCCAGTTTCTATCTTAATTTCTAAGATGGTGGGGGCACTGACAGATAGCTGCTTACATTAAATACCTGTTAATGTAACAGAGTTTTTAATATCCTGGTGAAGATTGGGAGAGCAGATGCAACCATCTAGTATTGGGGGGGGGGGCTGAAGTTGATAAGCTGACAACTCCGGGTGGGGGGAGCCTTTTCAGAAATGTCCGACCTTTATAGGTGAAATACATCTCAGAAACCGGTCTTCAGTACAACCCTGCACATTTTCCACGTAATCAGGATTTCTTTCAGAGTTGTAGATGCATTTGGGAGCCTTGTGGCACCTAACAGATTTCCTTACGCAAGCTTTCGAGGATATCTTTGCACAAGCTTTCGAGGCCACTTCCGTGATGTCCCAACCTGTGTATTTATGTCCGCAAATGTGTGTTACGTGTGTGCCAAACTTGGGTCTTTGATCCAGGTGAAATAAAGCCTAGCTTCGCCCCTGTCTCCTGAAATCACCGCACAGGCCGTACATGCATTGAAACCAGAGAACACGTCAGAAGAGGGTTTTTTTTTTTTAAAAAAATTGCTGGTTGAAAAGGATAGAATACACTAAATTTTACAGTATATTAAACTTCATCTAATTTGAACATAGGAACGGACTAGGCAAAATAAAGACCAATTTCTGAAGCAGAAATTACAATTTGGTTGGTGCCATTATGAAACTGCTGGCATTTTATCATGTTCTTAACATAATATTGCCTGTCTATTGATGTCAGAAGAGATTCTGTTCCAAAACAACTCCAGATGCCACATCTGGCAAGTCACCTTTGTAAGGAAAGGACTGGAAAATGCTAATCACGGTATCTGCCATCTGCCTCTCAAAATGAACGAGTTGACATGCTTCGCTCCTTACACAGGCGCGCTGCCCTGCGCTTCCACTCCTCTTAGCGGTGGGAAATAAGAGACCTTAAACTCGAAAAGGAGAGCCGGCGTGTGTCACTCTTGAGATGTTATATCTCTGCGGCTGGCTGGCTTAGCTCTATGGGCGCAGAGTGGGAGCCGCTCTATGTCGACATCTCTATGGTGGATCCCATGCTTCGGATCCCGTTCGTTTGGATGGCGGATGTGCCGATGGAGGACTGAGGGAGTCCGCTCTATCGGTACTGAGAGCAGCAAAAGTTCTTCCTGTTTACAGCTTTCGACTGGAAATGACTCAAGCGAGGCAGCAGCCTCGTACCGGTGAATGGTGGCAGACTGAGATCAGGCGGAGCGGAGTCCAGGTACAGAATCTGCATTAGATTTCATTTAAACTTGTGTTAAATATATATATAATAATAACAACTCATAAATACAAACATACACACCCCGAGCACCAGCCTTTAGACTGCAGTCCCTGTGCATCCTTACCTAGGAGCAAGGTCCGCGGAACTCAGCGAGACTTGCTACTGAGTAAGAGCGCGAAGGGGTCAGTTGCTCGTGTGGTCAAGTGCCTGCTCTAAGACATTTGCAAATAAATGTGTTATCGGTTGTCAGAAGAAGGCAACGGCGTTATTTAGCTAAAGAAAACAGGAGTCCGCCTCTTTCTTGTTCTCTCCTCAGATCTCAAGTTAAAAGAGATCTGCGGGATTTTGGTAGCGCAACAGAGGTTTTTAAAAAATCGCTCCTTTATTTGGATGGGTGAAGGAAAAGAATCCAAGTTTGAAATCTCAAGTTCTGTTTGTGGTAAATGCTCCACAATAGCGACAACGTCAGCCTGTTCGTGCTGATGAGCTTTAAAGATTTATCAAGGGAACTGAAAACTCTGTGTAGCCAGAAGTTAAGAATCTTTTAAGTCCCACTAATTTCGGGAGAATATTAAATATATCCCACGCTGCCCCATTGAAATAAATGGAACTTAAGCATCTTTTGTTTGGATAATCGTCCTCTAACAAGGCTGGTTTGGTTCTTCTCGCTGCCAGTTCCATAGATGCTTTACCCCACTGCAGGGTCTTTGTACCCAGAAATAAGCTTTGCCCCCCCCCCCCCGATCTTCAACTGCTGCCGCTCTGCATGTTTTGGGGAACAAAACTCTGTATGAGTTCATGCCTGAAATGCATTGTAAGGAATAGGTTTTAAAAGCTTTGACATGCATGTTCAGACAGCATTACAACACCTCCCTCTTGTCAGTAGGATATGGTTTGAAGTAGCTCAAAACGGGTGGGGTGTGGGGTGGCCAAGAGCCCATTTCCTTATTTGTAAGTGGATAGACAAGGATAGGCAAGAAGGAAGCTTTGGAGCAGATGGTAGAATTCTGGAAGGGGTAGCAGAAGTGTATGATTTGTGTGGACCAGGCTTTATCTTGGGGTGTAAAGGCTTAATTCCTGTGAGCTGGCTTGGTGGCACAGGGTAAAAGTGTCCCTCTGCCCACCCCCACCCCCCCAAAAAAAGATGGGAGATCTTTTAGGGACAGTCTTCCAGCCAAGGGAATATATGATATGGGCAGGGGTGAGCATTTGTTTTTGGTCAAAGGCTACATTATATCAAGAGTAATCTGGCTCCTACAGATTAGAATTTCTGATTCTATGCAGGTTTGCTCAGAATTAAGCCCTATTGTGCTTGAGGAGGTTACCCTCAAGTATACAGAGAATTTTGTTTAAAATATGTACAAAAAAGCAGAGCAGCTACTATTCTGGAAATCAAGTAAAAATAATTCCATGTTGTCTTTAGTGTGTTGCACATACAAATTATTCATTTATGCAAATAATTATGAATCACCTTTCACTCCAGAAGGGGGCACCAAGGTAATTTAAAATTTGCAGATGCCTACCAATTTGTTTTCAGGCACCTATTGGTTTGGAGGGATATTTCTCCCAAAGCCATACAGCTATGGAAAGAGTTTTTTTAAATATTTTAATCAAATAAAATACTGTTATTTCCAATTGTTCTGAAGCTATATAGAAAGAGAGCGAAAGCACTGTTAAGTATAAAATTACAGGGGAAATAGACGGACAAGTCTTTGATGGGGTGGGAAGCATGGGGCAGTTTTAGATGGCATCAGGGTCGCCTGCCTGTGATTTAGGGTGTTCCAAAGCTTATTTTGAAGAGCAGATATTTGCAGATGTGTTTATTCAGATTGCTTACACACATCCAGTGTTGAACCAAGCAGCAACTTCCTCTTTTATTTGAAACAACTGAGATTTTGAGATTTTTCGAACTCAGATGTTGACCTCCGTTTTATGGATTATGTCAGTTAAACTTTCAGATACTATTGTGAAGATTAAGTACTAACATACTTAACATAGTAGTTGACAGAGGATTAGAATGTATTCAAAGTGAACATTATTAAATGGAAATCAGGCATGGGTGTAATCAAAAACAGACCCACAGGACACTGCTAGCAAGCTTTGAACTTGCAACTCCAAAATAACACTACGCCTCCTCTCAATGAGATTTTCCAGAAAAAACCCCACTACTATCATTTTTATAGCTTTATACAATCAGCTCAAGATCATGTAGCTTCCTCAATTCTGTGACCGGTAAACATCAGCACCAGTATTTGCATTGTAATCTTTTAACTTCCCATGACTCTGATTTTTCTACTAATTGAATCAGCTAGTTTCTGGGGGAAGGGTTTCTTATCAGTTAAAAACATGCTGGACCTTCTCTGGAACATGGATTTCTATTTCCAGTCTTCCACTTCTCCTGTAAAAACAATACACTGACACCTAACCTCTCCTGATAGTATGTTAAATCTTCCACACTGTTTTTCAGTCTTTGTCACACTTGAACATTTACTACTTAGGCTACGATCCTGTGCACTCTTGCCTAGGTGCCACTGATCTTCGTGTGACCTACTTCTGTGTAATCATGCACAGCATTGTTCGTCCAGAACTCCTGTGGTTTAATTTTTGAATGAAAAATAAACCAGTGTATTTTAAAGCCCTGCCAATGGGGAACAATCATATAAATTGTTCATTTAAAGCAGGCATGGGGAATCTCAGGCCTTCTAGTTGTTGCTGGACTTCCAGTTTACATCAGCCCCAGGCAGCCTAGCCAATGGTCGGGATAATGGGGTTTGTAATCCAACTCCTTTTGGTGGACTACAGTTTCTCCACCCCCAATTTAAAGCATTTAGCCAAAGAAATGTCAAAACATAAATCTTAGATGCTTATTGAAAGGTTATCTATGCTACAGTTAGGCAATTTTAGACTCAGAGCTTAATAAACTTAAGGGAGGTCCTGTCTTCCTGAAGAAATAATATTTTGAGGAAATGTAGTGATGATCACTTGCAGTAATTTAACTTATTTCACTTTCTTTAAGGTTATAATAATTTACTGCATTTGGTAGAAGATCGTTCTCCAGATATGGAAGAAGATACTAGTCCTCTTCTGGTCCCTGTTGGAGGTGATGAAAATGACATTGGAGCCCTCAATATTCAGTTTAACCCAGAAGACTTTAAATACAAAAGGTGAGAGGAAATAAATACTTAAGATCTCTTTTACTGCTGTTCACTAGTATTTTTGGTCTGGCTTCATATTTTCTTCATTTTGATGCTACTTCCTGCAATTTGTCCTCCAGCTCAGTAACCTCTTAACTTGAGTGTTACTTGTAGAATGGCTATAACAGTTGTGTTGCATCAGGGTATCTGCTGGATTTAGGTAAAATGTATTATGATTTGAACTGAATAGGTGTCTTGCTGCTGTCCTCTGTAATCTGAATGAGTTCCTGAGTTTCCCACATGCCGTAGCAGTAGCATTGATTGGGAAAAAGTCGAAAGGCATGTTTGAGTATTTGCCTGACGACACAAATGCTAAACTTGTCCATAGAGACGGGGGCAAGCTCCATCTCCCATTACGATAATCTTTACTGTCTCTGTCCCATATAGAACAATGAAACTGAAAAAAATCTACACCAGACATTCAAAAAACAACAAGCCTGATATCCCAGCTATCCCAGCCTGGTTAGCCCCCTAAAAACTCTGATACCCCATAATTAAATACAATATACTGCCACAAAGACTACCTTACACTGTGTTTAAAACCAAAATCACATTTGGATAGAAACGGCTAGTACTAGTCTTTATAACCCTGTACCTTCTTCCAGAAGGCAGAAGCTGAAAAAGATCATTTTCCTGGTATATGTTTCCTGATTGCTCAGTCCGGCAGGAGTACTTTGAGCAAGAGAGGTCTGCAGGGTTTTGTTTTTTACTCTCATTCACCTGAACATGAGTAAAACCCTTTGTGTTATCAGTGATCCTGACAAAGCAGGCTCCCCTGATCTACTCACATTCAAGCAAAACTCCCCCATGGACCTTTATTGCTCAACACAGACAAGGTCAGGGGATGGGGCTTGCATGCGTTCCCTCACCCCTTACACAAATTCAGGCAAACACGCCTAAAGCTTAGGAGCATTGAACATGCCTTTAAGTTAAGTGGCATTGTGTTCTGTTCCAATCACAGCTTGCAGATGCAATTTGCAAAGCGCAATATCAAGGCTTGTTGACCCTTCACAGGGTCAAGCTCCACAAAGAAGACTTTGCAATCAGCTGTGATTTGGGGTGGCTTGATGCAAAGAGAAGGCAGTGCTCCTGCACTTTCAATTGTTGTGTAGAAGAGGGAATTTAGGCGGGTGTAGCTTGTCACAAGACCTGATAAATTATGTGTGTGAATCAGCTCTAAAAAGCAGTAGAGGTGGGGAATATAATTTTGCAGTAATAATTAGTTAGCAGTGTGTTTTTGGAAAGTTTGGAAGCTTGTGGCCCACCAGTTTATACTTTTTTGAGAATACTTGTTCTTGTAGCCTTAGATTGATGTGTGCTTGGGGGATAATTTGCTATATGTTAAAAGAGCATACAGTCGGGTAATAGAAGTCTGCATGCGAGCCACTTAGTGCTGTCTCAGTTTGGGAGGTCTTCAAGGTAATGTTTAATCCATATTGTTCAAATGTTGATTCTGTTCCCTTGGTTTCCTTAGGTAGAAGCTGCTCGAGTATATGTAAATTGCCGTTTTGGGGGACAGTTTCATTGGTATTTAGTTAGCTGGCGTGACACTGTTGTGGCTAAAAGAAAAAAAAGTGTGTGGTTTTTGTGGTTCTTTCCTTCCATAATTGATCAGTATCTTTGTGCTTATGATGTGGTTCCATGCAACAAATTATACAGAGCAAGTGAGATTGTATCTTTTCAAATAGGCCAATTGATTTCTAAACATATGAGTCAACTCTTGTACTCTTTGTGTCTTTTAAAAAATTATTATGATTTTGAATTTGATTTGTAAGCGATGTTGAGGTTTTCAGTCAGTGTTGCTATTTTTTAGGCAGGCTTCAAGCCTAGCCACCTCCCTGTAATTTTTCTGTATGGAGGAAATCTTTTCATACAGAGCCTGTGAAAGCTTAGGCCTTAGTAAATTTGTTAGGTGCTACAGAACTCTGTTATATTTGTATGAAGGGAATAGTCAGCCATGTGAACCCCATCTGCATTCCCTCTATATAAGCAGGTGGCTGAGAGTCCACCTGGATCCAGCATTGCTGCTGGAGGTGTAAGTGACCTCTGCAGCTAAGAGTGTCTTTTACTAGCTTTTACACTTGAGAGCCAGTGTGGTGTAGTGGTTAAGAGCAGTAGACTCGTAATCTGGGGAACCGGGTTCATGTCCCCGCTCCTCCACATGCAGCTGCTGGGTGAGCTTGGGCCAGTCACACTTCTTGAAGTCTCTCAGCCCCACTCACCTCACAGAGTGTTTGTTGTGGGGGAGGAAGGGAAAGGAGAATGTTAGCCACTTTGAGACTCCTTCGGGTAGTGATAAAGCGGGATATCAAATCCAAACTCCTCTTCTTCTTCTTTAGCTGGTACACCAGCTGTAGTCATTCCAGGCCATGGATAGTCTGGCTATAATGACTCATGCATTGGATTACTGCAATGTGCTGTATGAGGGGCTGCCCTCAAAGCTGCTTTGGAAGTTGCAGCTAGTACAGAATGTGGCAGCTAGATTGCTGAGCAGGAGAGAATTTGCAGTAGGAGAGTGTTTCATGATCATACAACATCAATTTTGATGGGACTGCTCTGGCTGCCTGTGTGCTGGCAAGCAAAATTTAAGGTGTTTTGTTAACCTAAAAGGCTCCATTCAGCTTTAAGCAACTACTCTCCCAAACAGACCTGCTCACAAATTGAGATCTTCAGCAGAGGCCCTCCTAGTGGTACAGCAGCCAGCTAAGGTTCATTATGGCATCAGCTTGAGCTTTCTTTGTGATGACACCTAAATTGTGCTTCCAGTAGTAAAGGCAGTGTACTGGGGGACATGAGCAAGAAAATGCTACTTTACTCATGTCTGACTCATAGGCTTTTGATAAGCATCTGGTTGGACATTGTGGGAACCAAATGCTGGACTGTTTTGTTCTATTATCAACCTCTAATGTTAGTCTTAAGTTGATTATGGCTTTAAAGACTATTACGTTTTTTATTTCTCTTCCAGGCCATTCCATATAGAACCTACAAATATTGTTACTGTGAATGATGATACGCAGAGAATTACAGATGAAGCTTCAGCAATGAATAAGCGGATTCATTACTACAGCAGGCTCGCGTCGCCCTCAGATAGAGCACTGGTAAGCAAAAGACAAGTTATTGCAAAACTCCCAGGTGTGGGAGCGCCAAACAAACTATGAGGTGTAACCAAGGTTTGCTCGTCTTACCACTCGTGGCTTGTTTGGCCAAGACAAACCCCAAGTTCAGGTTCACATAAAACACTAAGCTGGAGTAAGTCCCAGTACTTAGTCCCCAGTTGTGCAGCAGAATGGGGAGAGAAGCGAAGAGGCAGCAGCTTTTGTAACTGTACATCAGCCCACTTACTCATTCACACTTAACCATGGTTTGGCTTATCACTGGGCTGATTAACACCATCCATTCAAAGCACATGGTGTCCTCCCCCAAAAATAATTATGGGGACTGTAGTTCAAGACTGCTGTGAATTGTAGTTCTGTGAGGGGGTAAACTACAGTACCCAAGCTGCTTTAGGAGAAACCATGTACCTTAATTGTATAATATGGGAATGAGTCAATTGTCTCATTAAATTTTATAGCTTGGGCTACCATATTACACTCGCTCACCTAGGAGTAAGCTCCATTTAATTCATTTGGATTTTACTTTTAGGATTGTAAGTGTTGGACAGCAGACATGGGCACTTAACATTTCTCTTTTTTTCTTTATTTTACTTTTGCCACGTTTTCCCCCCTTTCAGTTTTTAAAAGCTCCCCTCCCACACAACATACAAGCTCAAATATTAAATAACATTTGCACTGTTGCATTTCAAGTAAGCTCTGTTGAACTCAATGGGCAGAACTTGCTTAATACTGGGATTGGAGTGCCTTCTTGAATTCTTCTGCAAATGCAGGAGTACTGTATTGCAGCACCAGAGACTTACACTGTCACTAAGGCCTTGTGTTCTCATCTTTTGTTAGGTGGCTCCTGATCACGTACTTCCTGCTCCAGAAGAAATCTACGTGTATAGTCCATTAGGAACGGCTTACAAAATAGATGGCTGTACGGATGGTTACGGCAAAAACTCAAGCATAGTAACTATGTATGTGAAATGCTTTCCAAGCATGGTAGATATGAAGTACATTATCTGTCACAAATTCATAATACGTAGAAAAAGCTTCCGCAATCAGTTTTAGTTTCTCATATTTTTACGTGTGCATGTTTTCTCCCCTCAGATTTATGATCTGGAATACAATGATGGGTACATCTATATTAAGTATTCCCTGGGGAATAAAACAGGTAAGGCAACCTTCAGGTGTGTCAAGGTCAATCTTAATGCAGCAATGTGTGGGTGTAATTTAATTTGCATCAATGTCACAATATGCTAATGCTTTTTTTTTCATTTTAAAAAACAGGCTGGATTTACCTCTGGAATCGTTATTATTTTGTTAATGGGAGTATTGACACTTTACTGTTGCTACAGAGTTGTGAAATCAAGGACAATGATACGTAAGTATGAGTTTCAGTAGTATTTATTTGTGTGATTGTGGTGTTCTGCTACAGGGACTTATTTCCACATTGACTTTTGCAGTGTAGGCAGTGGGACATGTTCTATAGAGCATGCTCAGTTCTCATGATGCACCGATACTAGACCTATTTTGCCTAGGTGTGTATACCTGAAACTGTGCATTAAAGCACCCAATTCCATTGTGGCTATACACAGCCAGAGAAGACTGATCACTGCTTCTAGTGCTCTTTCAATAAGGGAAACATTCCTGATATCCTGGAGTAGCTCTTAAACAGGCTTGGCATTGGCATATGACCCTCTTGGACAGCTGCTGGCTTCTCAGCAGGGCCCACCATCAATTCACTAGAACCTGCCCTTGGTATCCTCTCTGGGAGCCACCATCTTAATATATTGCTGCGCCCAGGAGTTGAAGACATTGTAGTTCTACAATACTCATACTTACGGGACCGCCTCTCCTGGTATGTCCTGCAGAGGACCCTAAGGTCCATGAATAATAATAGCTTAAAGGTCACGGGCCCTAACGAAGCCAGGCTAGCCTCCACCAGGGCCAGGGCTTTTTCAGTGATGGCTCCGACGTGGTGGAATGCTCTGTCCCACGAGACTAGGGCCCTGCAGGACTTGATCTCCTTCCGCTGGGCCTGTAAGACAGAGCTATTCTGCCTGGCCTTCAATTTGAATTAGCCTGATCCTCTATTCCCCTTTCTCTTTCCAAGTCTATGCCCCTTCTGGGACACCACATTTAAATTCTTCCCTGGTCTCCTTGCTGGCCCTAGTAGGATCACCAGTTAGCCCTGGTGATCATTTGATGTCTACTGACTGGTGTCCCCCCCCGCCAATGACCCCTGAAGTTTTGAATTTTATTGATATTGATGCTGCATTTTTTGTTGTATTTTATGCTGTTTTATGTTGTTTTTAAGTTGCATTCTAATCAATATTTTATATTTGCTGTTAGCCGCCCTGAGCCAAGTTTTTAAACCAAGAAGGGCGGGGTATTAAAAAAAAAAATTTATTTATAAAATAGTGACCCTAAGCTGCTCCTGCCTGTTGTAGGATGGGTTCCATCAGACAGAGATTACTGAGAACTCCTTTTCATCAGGAGCAGTTCAAGCTGAATCTGCAAGCAAGCTATTAACCTTTTGCTATAAATGGCAATGAATAAGGGCTACTGTACATGAGTAGGCTGTGTGTCAGGGACGTAGGAGTCTAATGCAACAGTGAGGTACCTTTGGCGCTACAGTGGTACCTCAGGTTACATACGCTTCAGGTTACAGACTCTGCTAACCCAGAAATAGTACCTCGGGTTAAGAACTTTGCTTCAGGATGAGAACAGAAATCGTGCTCCGGAGGCGTGGCGGCAGCGGGAGGCCCCATTAGCTAAAGTGGTGCTTCAGGTTAAGAACAGTTTCAGCTTAAAAACAGAGCTCTGGAACGAATTAAGTACTTAACCCGAGGTACCACTGTATAGTTGTTACTGGGCTCCAATTCCCATCAACACCAGCCAGCATTGTCAATGGCTAGGGTTGATGGGAATTGTAGTCCAGCAATGTTTGGAAGCCCACAGGTTCCCCAATTGTGGTTTCGTAGATCTACGCAGAGTCACATTTCCTGTAACACTGGCCAAAGGTTTTTGGTTTCCCTTTTCTGTCACATACTGCAGTGACAGGAAAAGCCACAACTGATCTCACTGTTGTATCTGGCCCCCATATTACTGTTAGTTCCTTACTGTTACTTTTTAAAGGTATCGCCTCCCTCTTGTGCGTGGGTGCACCGTTTTTACTACGAAAGGATCCCCAATCAGAGAATTAGGGTTGTATCCATGAGTAACTTAGGTCCATTAATTCCAGTACTATGCCTGCTCATCAGTTGGATACACTCATCGAGTTTGCTATTGATACATAGCTTTAACTTAATGCAATGATTACTAGGTCTCTGGCGCTTAATAATTATTAACTTAGCAGAAATCTGACTTCATGTTTTTCTGTGCCATTCCTGCAACCTTCACTTGGCAATCCTACGCACAGCCCACCCAATATCTTAAAATTTATAAAGCCCATCTATACACAAGGTTCAGTTCAGTGCTGTGCCTTTTCTGGGGCCTTTTCCAGGCAAAATTTTCCCACCAGAGGAACCAATTAAGAACAATAAACATCTAGTCTGGCATCTATTCTCACCATGGGCAAACAGATGCTTGTGGGAAGCCTGCAAACTGACCATGAGCACAACAGTGCACTGCCCACCTGCGATTTCCAGCAGCTGGTACTTGGAGGGACATTACTCATCTCCCTTGTTTTGAGAAGGCAAGTGAAAACATGCCTTCTAATACGTTAGCAACCCTTCTTCTGTTTGCTGCTTGGTGGTTGCTTTAAATGCTATAATTGTATTTTAGCTATTTTTGTTGCTGTTTTAAAAACGTAAGCTACCTTTATTTTTGCAAATAACTTTAAAAGCAATAGGCTTTTATTTCACTTTGTTAGGATGTTCAGCATCAGTTGTTGAGAATCTGTGGTATCTTAATGTTTAGGAATCTTCAGAATGCAAAGTATGTGTAAGCAGTAATGATTAGATTATTGAACTTTAGTATTAACTCTGTGCTTATGTGTCCCCCCAGCTTTAATAGATACCTCAACTTGGGAATTCCCAGATGTTTGCAAGTATTACTTTGGATCATTCGGTCAATGGTCTAGCCTTTTGTTTTCGTTGGTATCCCTTATTGGAGCCATGGTGGTTTACTGGGTCCTCATGTCCAATTTCCTTTACAACACAGGGAAATTTATTTATAGTAAGTGTGAACTTTTCTTTTAATTCCTTGCAGCTGGGCTTGGTTTTTCCTACCTGGCAAATAAGACGTAATAGTTCATAGCAGAACTCATGGCTGCATCTGTTAAAAGCCGTTTTGGTCTATGTTTCAGTGTGTGTAATTATGTGAGTGTTTATTGCAAGCCACTTTGGACACCGTCTGCTGTAGAAAAGTGGCATATACATAAAATAACTTGCAGTGCAATCCTGCACATGTCTTCTCAGGAGGAAGACGACTTATAAGTTTTCTTATTATTATTTTTTGTACTGGCCTTGCTTGCACGTCGCTTTGAACAACAGCTGCCACATTGCCAGGTGCTTGCTATGATTTGGCTTAGCATTGTGTCTGAAACCAGACTTGTGCTTTGTTTCTCTCCAAACAAAGCATGAGTGGGCCAAGAACATAATCTGGTTGTAGCTCATGGTTTGTCTGAAGAGAGACAAACCATGAGCCCAGGTTTGGATGTAACGCTAAGCCAAGCCATGCTTTACCTTGAAGTAGCATGGCATCATGACAAATGAAGCAGCTGCGATTGTTTTCCTGTGCCCCAGAATACTGTGCATTCCCCTTTAAATCATAGTTAAGGTTAACTGTGGTTTAAAACGACGTGCAAACCAAACCATTGTTGTTGATTTTTATAATCATCCTGAGAATATGCTCAAAGGGCACTATAAAAATACTCTAAATAAATTTGCCCCTTAGAAAACCTGCTTATAAAACTCAAATATCACACTGAATAGACCATTACAGTGTGCGTACTAAGATCTCTGTGAGAAAACAAACTTTTCTCTGTATAAACAAATGGGCAATATTTGAAATAAATTGTTATAGTAGTGCTCTTTATTAAGGATGCTGATTCCTAGAAAGCTCTTCAGCATTGAACATTGTGGTGCCCTGGAACTAATTTAAATGTTATGAAAGCATGCAGGTCCTTATATTTTTTGGCCATCTTTTGAGATCTAGGCATCATTCTCGGGTGACCTTCCCCCACCTTGTGCTCTCCAGATGTTTTGGGTTACAGACTGACTTGGGTTACAGTCCAAAACATCTGAAGGGCAGCAGTTTGGGGAGGCTGTTCAATGTTAACATTTTAATTTAAATATATCTTACATATATGCTTTTATATACATCTTAAATATGTTTCCATACTATCTCAGATGCATCATAGGAGTATATTTTGGAAGGCTGTTTAAATGGGTTTGGTGTTTGCACTAATCCTAAACATGTAAGCAAATCTTAATTTGGCTTTTAGTAAATCTGAGTAGGCATAATTGGCCTATGTTTTAAAGTGGGCCACAGTCTTTCTTCATTGTGGTAACAGCAGGTGTTTTAAGCTATTTATCCAGCAGATGGCAATGTAGTTCACTAAAAAAAATTAGAGCAGGCTAAGTTGCAGAATCACAGGGTTTTTCTTAAAAAATCCTCCTTGGACTCTTGTAAGTATCTTTAAATAGATTACAGTGGTGCCTCGCAAGACGAAAAGAATCCGTTCCGCGAGTCTCTTCGTCTTGCGGGTTTTTTCGTCTTGCGAAGCAAGCCCATTAGAGGTTTAGCGGCTTAACGCTACAGTATTAGCGGCTTAGCCGGCTTAAAGATCAGCTGATAAGCGGCTTAACGATCAGCTGATAAGCGGCTTAACGATCAGCTGATAAGCGGCTTAGCATCAGCTGTTAAGCGGCTTAAAGATCAGCTGATAAGCGGCTTAGCCATCAGCTGATAAGCGGTTTAGCGGCTTGGGAAAAAGGGGGGGAAAGGAAAAAAAACCCCGCAGGAACTCGCAAGACATTTTCGTCTTGCGAAGCAAGCACATAGGAAATTCGTTTTGCGAAGCACCTCCAAAACGGAAAACCCTTTCGTCTAGCGGGTTTTCCGTCTTATGAGGCATTCGTCTTGCGGGGCACCACTGTACGCTGTTGTTGTTTTTTAAAAGTTCTTGCTGCCTAATGATCGCAGGGATATATTCGACAAAGTAATGACAAAAACACAAAAGAGTTTGGAACAGGCTTGCAAGTGAGCAGAGGTCTAGACATAACCAGAGCCAGCATTGCAGCGAGATCAGGCTGCTGTCCAGGGCCACTGATCTAGTGCAAACCTGATAGAAATTCCTTACTGCTTTCCTGAAACTTGGGAGACAAGCAAGGAAGGATGAATTGAGGGTAATGGAACTGAAGCAAATGACATATTCTTACGGGGGAAAGAGGCTCATTGCCTGGACACAATTTTACTCTGCAAAATTTCTGGATCTGGTATTTTCAGAGTTCTTGTAAGCATTACCGTATTTTTCGCTCCATTGGACGCACCGGACCATAGGACGCACCGGATCATAGGAGGGGGAGAACAGGGAAAAAGATTTTTTTTCTTATTCTCCCCCTCCAAAACAAGGTGCGTTCAAGGTACATTCACCAGAGCTTGTGGGGCTGGCGGTGGGGGGAAGCGCTGCTTTCCCCCACCGCCAGCCTCAAAGATCCCTGAAGCCTTTGGAGCGCAGCGCCCCGCTGCCCTGCACAGGTTTGCGCGCAGCCGTCCCCAAGCTAGAGCAGTGAAACGGAGCCCTCCGTCTCGCTGTTCTGGCTTGGGAACAGCCTTGCTAGCTTCTGCAGGACAGCGGGGTGAAGGCACCCCGCTGCCCTGCAGAGGTTTGCGCGCAGCCGTCCCCAAGCTAGAGCAGCGAGACGGAGCCCTCCGTCTCGCTGTTCTGGCTTGGGAACAGCTGCTAGCTTCTGCAGGACAGCGGGGTGAAGGCACTCCGCTGCCCTGCAGAGGTTTGCGCACAGCCCTCCCCAAGCTAGAGCAGCGAGATGGAGCCCTCCGTCTCGCTGTTCTGGCTTGGGAACAGCCTTGCTAGCTTCTGCAGGACAGCGGGGTGAAGGCACCCCGCTGCCCTGGAGAGGCTGTGCGCGCAGCCGTCCCCAAGCTAGAGCAGCGAGACGGAGCCCTCCGTCTCGCTGTTCTGGCTTGGGAACAGCCTTGCTAGCTTCTGCAGGACAGCGGGGTGAAGGCACCGTCTCGCTGCTCTAGCTTGGGGAGGGCTGCGCGCAAACCTCTGCAGGGCAGCGGGGTGCCTTCACCCCGCTGTCCTGCAGAAGCTAGCAAGGCTGTTCCCAAGCCAGAACAGCGAGACGGAGCGCTCCGCAGTGCTCCGTCTTCCTGTTCTGGCTTTGGGCTTAGCGGCGCAGCCTGCATTCGCTCTATAGGAAGCACACACATTTCCCCTTAGTTTTTGGAGGGGGAAATGTGCGTCCTATAGAACGAAAAATACGGTAATTCTTTGGTTAGTTTATAATTTAAAAGTTGTATTTGATGTGAGACTTTAATGTGGTATTACAGTATAAGGTTAAGGGAGAAGAGGTGGGGAGAGAGAAGGAGGGGTAGTAAACTTGCTACCGTATTTTTCGCTCTATAGGATGCACCCAACCATAAGACGCACCTAGTTTTAGAAGGGGAGAACAAGAAAAAAAAAATTCCCTCCCTCTCTGCGCAGCGCCCCTTCAGCGAAGCGAAGCCAGGAGAACAAGAGGGATCGGCGTGCACCCATCCCTCTTGCTCTCCTGGCTTCATTGAAAGTGACGCGAAGCCTCCGGAGTGCAGCGGGAGCTCCCGCTGCGCTCCGGAGGCTTCAGGCAGCTATCCCTGAAGCCAGGAGAGCAAGGGGGTCGGTGTGCTGCGCTCCGGAGGCTTCGCGTTGCTTTCACTGAAGCCATGGAGCCTGCATTTGCTCCATTAAGATGCACACACATTTCCCCTTAATTTTTGGAGGGGGGAAAGTGTGTCTTATAGAGCGAAAAATATGGTAGTTTCCATTGGCATTGAGAGAGGTTGGGGAGGCCAGGGCATGGTTGGTTGCCTTCAGTGGACTGCAGTGAGTTTTGTTTGCTTTTCATCACTCCACCCCACTGGCTTGCAATCCCAGGTCTAACCTGGGTGCCCTTTTTCCTGACCTGGAAGCTACCTCTCCCAATTATTTCATTGTGCTTACACAGAAGCAAGGGGGAATTGCTGTGCATGTGAACCTCTCACTTCATATACCCAAGGGCATTGTAAACAAGGTCCAGTGGTGGTGGTGAACATTGGCACAAATTCAGTGCTGTAGATCCAGATGTTGTTGAATTGATTGGGCTTGGTGGGAGTTGGGAGCTTAACAACATCTGGAGGAGTAGAACAGAACTGTGGGAAGGTTGTTTTTTGTTGTTAAAACCTAAAATGACACTGCAGCTTCAGAAATAGTAGTCTCTGTATGTTGCTTTCAGCATGCATCCTGTTTGTTCCAAAATACACCTCGGAAGAAACTAGCTGCAGGACTGAGATGTTCCTAAGTTGTTTGTCTTCCTTTCCCTCTTTAGATTATGCTCATCATATTAATGTAACGGATATTGTTCCTGGTACAAATGGGAGCACTAAAGGTAAGTTTCCAACCCCCCTCCCCTAATTCTCTCTCTCTCTTTCAATAAATAGTATTTACACTGAGATTCAAAGCATCTTTCAATATTTAAAAAACATTATTTTAGAATATAAAGTAATGAAAGCAAACTGCTTAAAAGTGATAGTTAAAATACAATAAAATACTTTTAGAATCAGAGGGATGCATCTCCAAGAGATTTTATGCAGTAGTTAGGTCTATCCTGAATGACTAACATTAACCAAAAATAAAATTGGCTGAATATAGTAAAATATTGCAGAAGTTTCTTTCCCAGACTTATTTAAAAACCACATTAATAACAATCCTGATTGCAAATAGTAACTTCCAAAAACATAATTTATAGGGTTCTGTGTTCGCGTCAAAACCTGTGTGAAAAATAATAATCAATTTGTCACTCCCTTCCCTCTCAATCCAGAAAAGAGTTTCATGTGAAATACAGCAGTACTGTCAACTTTCTCTCAAAACAGCAACTATTATGCAGGCAATGGAGAGTAAACAGACTTGCAAAAATAACGCTGATGACTCGGTCGTGTCCACTGGCTTTTCTGAAACATGACCAACTGCTTTGTGCTTAAGGGCATTGTAACCGGCTTGGCATGCAGCCAGTGTGGGATGAAAAGATTTGCTCTAGGAAAATTCCACAGAATACTTAGTTAGACCATGCTCTGCACATAAATCACAGCTGTTTACTAATGGCAGCTGCTTGCCTCAGACCCCAGAAATGGTAATCTTGTACTTCACAGATCACTGACTAAGGTCACATGACAATAGCAAGTTAGAGTGCTTTAACCTGAATCTGAATCAATCACATCTAAAGTGGGTGGGGACAGATTGAATGAGTAAAAGGAATGTGCAGGTGAGCCGTACTGAAATCCCTCCTTGCTGTTTACCTCTCTATTGTTGGCACCCTTCTGTTTAAAGAGAGGGGTGTGCCTCTGGGGGAGAAGTCAAACCTCTGCATTAGCAGCAAGGATGTGACCTCCCTGGGCATAGCCTCACATAAAACACAACCTGTTCAGGGTATCTGTTGGGCCAGCATCTTAATTTAAAAAAGGCCCTTAAACTGTGTGTTGGCTGCTTTGTTTGGCATGTTCTCATGTCAGCAATACATAGTCCAGGAAGAAATTACACTGACATGTGAACGCTGTATACCAATAGTTGCCAACTTTTTTGGGTCCAGGGGCACACGTGGAATTTTGAGACTGGCTGATGTCAGGGGTGTAGCTTAATGCAGTGGCATGTGGTCAGTGGACTAGGGGGACCAGGCTATTTCCCTAAATGTTCCTGGTAAATTAGAGCAGGGGTCAGCAAGCTCTTTCAGCAGGGGGCTGGTCCACTGTCCCTCAGACCTTGTGGGGGGCTGGACTATATTTTGAAATAAAAATAAAAATGAACAAATTCCTATGCCCCACAAATCACCCAGAGATGCATTTTAAATAAAAGGGCACATTCTGCTCATGTAAAAACACCAGGCAGGCCCCACAAATAACCCAGAGATGCATTTTAAATAAAAGGGTGCATTCTACTTGTGAAAACACGCTGCTTCCCGGACTGTCTGCGGGCTGGATTTAGAAGGCGTTGGGCCGGATCCGGCCCCCGGGCCTTAGTTTGCCTACCCATGAATCAGAGTATTAAAGCCTCGTTCTCAAAGCCCAGGTGGCATCTGGCTGGCTTAGGGAGGCAGATGCGATGCTCACGTGCTCAACTTTGGAATGTCGCAATGTCACACGTGTGATGTCGCCCCACCCCCATTGCCATCTCAAGTTGGCACCTCTGGCCCTAACTGTTCCCTTATGAAAAAATTCACCGCATGCCACTGGTATAATGCAAAATGGCTGGCCCCTGCAGAAGGGCAGACTTTCTTAAGAGAAGCAAATTCCTTAGATATTCCTTACGTTGTTTTCTGCAAAGTGCTGAGGCTTGTGGGTGAGTGTGAAGAGACAACATACAGGTATTCCGCAGCCAAAACAGCCAGCTGTTTCCGTAAATCACAAATGTGGAATCTGACTCTCTAAATCCTGTTGGACTCAAGTTCCCATCAGCCCCAGGTAGCATAACCAGTGGTCTGGGATGATGGGAACTGCAGTCCCAAGATCTGGGACTTAAATGGAGAACCCAAGTGGGTTGCACTGTTTATCCCTAAGTCACACCACAGTAGGCATCTTACTCATTTTGATGTTTAGGCTCTGATTTCCCCTGCTTGTTATGCTTTCCTTGAAGTAAACAACTGCTTGTTTCCCTTTTGGTTCTACAGTAATCTGCCCAGGTGATGCAGGCAAGGAAGTACCAGGAAACAGAAGCTGGACGCTTTCTTCTACCAATGATTCAGGATTTGAGGAATTTGAACGGCTATGGAGCAAATCGAAAACGGTCCCTCTTTACCTGGGCATCCTTGTTCTGCTATTGAATTTCAAGTCTCCCTCTTTCTTTGCCAAATTCAACGTCTTAGGTAGGCAATGATTTGACTGGAGAATGTACAGTCTGTGTTGGGGCAGAATGCCTCACAGCTACCACAAGACCTGAAATGTTTCCCTGTTGGATATCCACTGTTTTCACTTAATCTGTTAGTCAATATTGCATCATTTTCCCTGGACTGAGGGTCAGGCTACACATTACACAACAGATCTATGATCAGATCTCTCCCAATGTCTTTTGTAAAGCTTAAAACATGGGTGGGCAATCATTTTTCTGTTGAGGGCTGCTTTCTCTCAGGGATTGCATACTCATGGTGGGCAAGACTGAAGCCAGCAGTGGGTGGAGCCAGTGCCAAAAGTAGACGGGGTCACTCTTTCTCTTCGACCTGCCGTGCTAAATAGGCTGTTGGAAGATGGGCACATCGCTCTTCCAGTACCTTTTTAATGCAAGAAGCTTGTGTTTAAAGGCAACCAGTTGTTTTTATTTATCCTTTGCTCTTCAGGAAATTCATTTCCCAGAACTTCAGGGTTTATAAATTTCATTCAGGAATTCTGTTATTTTCTCTCCCTCTTTTCCCCACCCTTTTACAAATTTCTTAGATTTAGAGCAGCCAATAATAATAATAATAATAATAATATAATAATAATAATAATAATAATTTATTATTTATACCCGCCCATCTGGCTGGGCTTCCCCAGCCACTCTGGGCGGCTTCTAACAAAATATTAAAATACAGTAATGCATCAAACATTAAAAGCTTCCCTAAACAGGGCTGCCTTCAGATGTCTTCTAAAAGTCTGGTAGCTGTTGTTCTCTTTGACATCAAGTAAACTTGCATTAACATGATTTTCTGACCCCCTCTCCATGTGTTCTCTTGTTTGAACCTGGCTGAATAAGATGCAAAATAATTTTATCTCGGTTGCATTAATCTCAAAGCTGATTTGCAGATGAAAAACAAAACACAGAAAAGGGCAAGTGAAGAGGGAAGGATCGGAGGCAGGGGAGATGTTTTGGGTTGGTCCAAGCTAGAGATGGAAAAACAAGACTTTTGCTCCTACTTAATTTAAATGTATCTGAGTGACATGTGGTTTTCCTCCTTCCCTTATTGCAGGTACCGTTTCAGTCATCTACCTAGTTATCCTCGTTACTGTGAAAGCTGCTCTCTTGGGATTCCATTTAGAATTTGACTGGTTTAAATCAACCACGTATTTTGTACCAGGTAAACTTTTTTATATATATAAAACAGCCATCAGTATTGACTTTAAAACACTCCATTTTAATCATTTGATAAGATGAAAGTGGTTTCAAATGTATTCTTCAGCCCCTGTATATAATTCTTCTTGAATTGGTTACCAGTACAGTGTAGGCTACTATATCACTATTGGAATTGATTGCAAGAAGCGTAGATTGAGTTGGAACAATAGAGTGTAGGTGACCATTTATGCACTGGCCATTTGCAATTTATAAGAGCCATTAACCAAGGAGCAAAATGCTCAAGCATGCCATGCAGTTTAAATAATTTAAATGAGGCCTTTTAAAAAAATGGGGATTCTCTGGGTGTTGTCAGACTCCAACTCCCAACATTCAGGCCCTTGGCCATAGTGGCTGGAGCAGATGGGAACTGGAGTGCAGCAGTAACTAGGGGACCACAGCTTTCCCATCCCTGATTATAATTTATTGGTCCCAATATCATTCTGTGATGACTGATCTCAAGAATAACTGTAGTACTTAAGAAAAAGAAATTACATCAGTACCTAGTGCAATTCTTGTTGCATAATCCTTACAACAAGCCTGTCTGGTGGGCTGGTATGATCACCCCCTATTACAGGTGCAATAATTTTAGTGTAAGCAATTGAGGTTTGACTAAAGCCACCAAGCAAGTTTCATGACTGAACTGATTTCCCCTCCCACCATCAAGTGCTCTTTCATTTATGCTCTTAAGCACTTTGCTTGCACCAGCCCTGCAAACATCAGGCCACCAGAACTTCCACACACACCAGGGCCCCATCTGCTTTGTTCTCACACCTGCATCCGTATATGGCTTTTCCTCTCCTTCAGCTTCTCAGTTCTGCCAAAGGAGGTGGAGGGGAGAGGGATTGACTACGGTATTTGAATGGGTAGAGAATTCCTTTCCTCATTTGACACAGTCTCAATTCAGGAAGGACATCAGGTGGAACAAGGGCCTCTGTGATCTGTGTGGGACCAACTAGCCCTATTAACCTTCTTGCCCATAGTGATGCCTAGGATGATCATTGTGGGGAGGAAGGAGAAGAGCTCCATCCAAGACTTGGCAACACTTTCAGGGTCTCCCCCCTGCAGCTGAATCTACTCAGATGTGGGGAAATGGTTGCATAAGAAGCACACCCAGGTCTGACAATTCCAGAGTGATTTCAGCACTGCATGAAGGTTGGGTTTTCTGGCCAGAGGCTGTGGGTGGGTTGACTTTTCCAGCTTGCTAGCACCTGGAGCTTGCATTGGCACTAGTCAAAATGCTCTTGAGGCCATTAGCCTCTTTTTCTTCCTCCAAAAGCCTTGTAATGAGGCATCAGGGACCTTCACTAGGAGTCTCATTCTGCTGCCAAAAAAAAGAGCTCTGAAGAACTTGCTTTCTTCATGTGGTGTCTGATTAGAATTAGGTACTCTTTTCACCTGGGGAATCGTTAATGTCGTTAACATTTAATTAATTCTTGCTAGAGGAAGTAGAAACACCCTTTCTGCCCACTCCCCAGTGAATTTCAGAGGGGTACAGCCCCACCCTACCCTGGTAATGCATTTGATTTAGAGAACAGTTCAGCTGTTCTCCAAGTCACAATAGATCAGTCATCATAAACCCAAGAGAACTTCTGGCGACTGTTTCCAACACAGCTTTCCTCCACAGAAGAACACGTGTGGAAAATATTGTACGGTGGTACCACTGGTTACATACTTAATTGGTTCCGGAGGTCCGTTCTTAACCTGAAACTGTTCCTAACCTGAGACACCACTTTAGTTAATGGGGCCTCCTGCTGCTGCTGCACCGCTGGAGCACGATTTCTGTTCTCATCCTGAAGAAAAGTTCTTAACCCGAGGTACTATTTCTGGGTTAGGTCTGTAACCTGAGGTACTACTGTATAAGAAGTCCCTGTCCATGTTCTAGTGAATGGAACTAATTCTATTCCAACATCGTCTTCCATTGCAAATGCCATTGTCATAAGTTTGTTTATCTGCAAAACTTGCATCCTGTACTTCTGTCAGAAAACCCCAGAACACCTGCTGCAAATACATACATAAAGCATAATAATAATAATAAAATCACATATGTTGTCTTCTCACTACAGAGGCTAATATTGCCATCTTAAAAGCCTGCACAAAAAGCAGGTCTTCAGGGAGCGCCAAAAGCTATGCTGCGTATGGTGCGCCAAATCACAGTGGAGGGAATGGCCATAGCTCAGTGAGAGAGAGCATCTGCTTTGAATGCAGAAGGTCCCTGGTTGAGTCCATGGCATTTCCAGGTAGGGATAGGACTGTCCTCTATCTGAAACCCTGGAAAGCTGCTGCTAGTCAGTGTAGACCAGGCTTCCTCAACCTCGGCCCTCCAGATGTTTTGAGACTACAATTCCCAGCATCCCTGACCACTGGTCCTGCTAGCTAGGGATCATGGGAGTTGTAGGCCAAAAACATCTGGAGGGCCGAGGTTGAGGAAGCCTAGTGTAGACATTACTAAGCTACATGGACCAGTCATCTGCCTTGGTTTGAGGAAGCTGGTGCCCTTCTAGTCTTCAGAGGAAGGGCATACCACAACTGGGGTGATCTTGATAAGAAGGCTATCTGATCCTGAGATTTCACTTAAGGAACTAAGGAACTTAAGGAACTACCAGCAGGATATCAAGTCATGGGTTAGATTATGTGTTTGGTTGAGGGGGGTGCATTTTTACAGATTTGAGGGGTTCCCCCCCCCTTACAATTAGCAGTATAAAAATTTTATGAGGTAAATAGCAGAGTTCCTCTAAGGAAGGGAAGAAAAGAGCTATGTTAAATTGAAAGGTATTACAGGAAGAAATGTTTTAAACGGGGCCACTCAGGGAAACCAGACTGTAGGTGCGGCTGGCTGTGAGCAAGGAGAGTTTCTTTCTCATCTTAAGTGTGAGCCCCACACAAAACACCACATGAAATCTAGTCTCAAGATAGAAAACTGTACCTATCCACCAGCTATCTCCTCCTCCTCCTACCTGTTTGTAGTCATTCATTAATTTATATTTCTGTCCTGCTGTTCTACCAAGGAACCCGGGGTGGCATATATGGTTCCCCCTCCCCGCCCCCAATGCCTTTTTATCCTCAAAACAAACCTGCAAGGTAGGTTAGTCTGAGAGATGATGACTGGCCCACGCTCGCCTGGTAGGCTTCATGGCTGAGTGGGAATTTGAAGTTGTTTCCTCTGGTCCTATAATCCATTACTGTGCCCAATCTAGTCCGTATACTACGCTGGGTGTCTCAGCTGGCTTGCCCCATAACAACATTGGCAGGAAGTGGATAGGAGAAAAGCCCTTTCCCCCCTCAATCCACTCTGTGATGGGACAGAATACATGAGGGAAATAATTCTCTTTTTCCCAGGTTGATTTCTCTTATCTCTCTCACACATATACATCATCATCATCATCATCATCATCATTATTATTATTATTAATTTATTTCAGTGTTCTAAAGAGGGTAGAAATTAGTATATGAACATGTTCCACAAGTTATTTTTCTGAAGTCCTCCCACTCAGTTTACTTGGAGAGCGAGCCAGGACAGAAGCAGACTGGCCCAACTCCCTGAAGGCCACGGGGCTGCAGCTGTTGAGGAGAGAGAGAAAGCACTGCATGCCTTTCTTCTATTATGTATAAACTTTAGCGCAGTTAAAATACTATTTAACAAATGCTTTCTCTAATCTACTTTCAGTATTCTTGTTTCCCGCCTTTCTCTCTTTGTGTGTCTCAATATAGGAAGGAATGCTAAGGGGCTGTCTTCATGCAGGCAGTTGCCCCCATGGTGGCCAATTCAGAGGCAACCGTGTGCACATAGCAAGGTTAAATATGTGACATTTATTATCCCACCAATACAACCACCTCCTTTTTGTGGTTTCAGTTGATAGGGAGGCAGCGTTGAAATGCAAGAAAGCTGGCTTGTGCCGTTGTCTGTCAGGCTGTGCACTTGCAAGAGCTGATGTAATTTAGTGACCACATAATGTGAGCTCCCAGCTCAAATGCTATGAACTCGCTAAGCAACTTGCTCTCTTTCAGCCCCTCCCAGTGAAATGGAAAGTTAAACTTCCAGTTTATGATAAACTGCTTCCCCCCCTTTGCGAAGCTCAGGGTGCAACATAAATTAACCTGTCAAAAATACTTTCTCCTTTTCAGGAGAAACTTGGAATACTGATTTGTTGAGCTTACCATGTAGAAAAAAAGGAGTTACAGTGACCCATTTTTTTTGTCAGTCATGTCCTGTTTTATAATTTAAGTTGTACAATTTTGTAACATACCACCATTTAGAGAAATAGAGTATTACAAAACTGGGCCAGATTTATTACTGCCCCATATAACAGTGAGTGCCTCAGCTTTAAGTGCTTCAATACAGATGGCAGAACCTAAAATGGTTCTGTATTCCTTTTCTTTTTGTATATTTTTTATAGGCAATGGACAAAATTCATAAAACTAAGGTCATTTCTCATTAAAAGAAAAAAGAGTTGCTGCTTGCTATAATGCAAAGCATATGTAACTTTGACGAATTTGTAAGGAGTCCACACCGAGATTCCGGATTTGCGGTTTGGAAAATGTTTCTCCCCTCTTCTCCCATCCCCTATAATAGTGTAAATAATGGCGCTAAAAAGGTTTCCTAGTCAATGGCTGACCTTTGCGGTAAACATCATTTCCCATCCAAACAATGAAATATGGAGTGATTGAGCTTTAGTTTGACAGCAGGGATAGGAAAAACCATTTGCGCTGCTAGAGAGATGCGCACTCCTCTTAGTCCTCTTTGGTAAAGATCCAAATAGAAAAGATGCCTCAGGGACAAAACAGATAACAAGAACAGTCGCAGACAAATAGCTTGCGCGGGCCACAGTTCTCTCTGGCATGCAAACTCCATGGAGATGGTCCAGTTTGTGCCATATGCATATTCATACCTGAGAGAGTTCATTTTACCTGCGACTGCAGTTGCATCAATTTCAGCTTAGCTTGATTTAGCATGCAGCACAGAGCTGTTCCCTGACAGCCCTCCAGATGTCCTTCGTCAGAAAACACTGCTCAGATTTTGCTGTTTACTGGCACACTTAATCTGTGAATGTTTATAGTCTTCATGGTTATCCAAACAGAGCAGGGTAGCGGGTGGAGGGAAGAGGGCTGGAGAATGATGCAGCTTTGATGAATTGTTTGTGAATTGGAACAGATGTCAAGCCAAGCAAACTGCATTTTGGTGAATCCAGATTTTTTTAACTTTAATCAGACCAGTCCTACAAACTTTGCAAGTTCACCCCTGGCATTCTATTAGATCGTGGGTGGGCAAGGTGGCTCATCTTTCAACAGCCATCCCTGAATCTGAAGCAGGCAAGGCAGTTACCCCAGGTTTCTACCCATTTTTATGAAACGGAAAGAGCACACTGGACACAATCTGCACAGCCACTAGGCTAGGGCAACAGTAAAAAGAAAAGGGTGGCGGTGGTTAGAATAGTAGTCTTGGTGGCAGATTGGTGCATTATTCTGCATAAATTTCCTAGGTTGTTGTTGTTGTTTTCCAAAATACAGGCATTTTGTTAGACAGTCTTTTAAAAATGGTTTTTCTGGGTAGTTGTTTTTTTAAAAAAATTGTTTTAAACCATTTATTTATTTAAATAACCCTGTAACCCATGGTACGTCATTTTCACAATACAAATGTAGCGGGAGAGCAATCTTGGTTCATTTCATGAGTAGAAAAACAATGCCTCTTATTTATCCCAGCAGGATCAGTCCACAGAGTCCTATTGGTGGATGGTGGAATCCCACAACCACCTTGTCCATTGAATAAAAGTATACCATTGAGCTGCAAAATCGTCCTCATATTGAGCCATTCTCAAAGCTCGGGCTTGTTTAGTTAGTATTTCTGCCAAAATGCTTTGCCAGATGTAATAATACTCCCCCCGCCACCTACAAAAACCAAGCCTGCAAAATGGTTGTGGCATTTGTTGAAGGAGCTAGATGAGCACTTCAGCGCCCAACTGGTACAGCAAGGAAATGTTTAGCTGCAAAATTATATTTCTGTTACTCAACAGTAAAAAACCTAATTTTTAAAAGGTACATAATATGAATTGGGTAGTGAGAAGAAGAAACTAGTTGGTGTTTTTGGCTGTTCAATGAAAAATGGAAAGGTGGCACTCACCAAGAAGCACAAAAAACAGGGGAATTAGGATTATTGATGGTTAAAATATGAAACAGAACTTCTGAACGTTAAAAATCCTTATGTAAAAGTACATGTGCTGTGGGAGCCATGAAGTCATGGCAAAGGCTTGTAGCGCCACCTGGTGCCTCGCTGACCTCAGTGACCTGCATGTCCGTGCCTTGCAGTGTATTAAGTGCATAACCTTATATGGCGATGGGCGGGTTTAAGCCATGACCGGATGTAGGTAACGTGAGACATTGGCAAACGGCCATGCAACAGGAGAGAACAAAGGATAATAAAAGAGACCGGTGAGGAGAGAAGTTCGAAAGGAGCTGCTCATACCATCCTGAAAATATTGCTGGCTCTCTGTGTCTTTATTTTATGCTAAACTGTGCCATTTGTGACGGCTGGCTTCCGTCAATGTGCAAATTGGGTTTTTTTTTAAAAAAAGTTGATAAATTTGTGGCTGTTCAAGTGTTTAAAGCAGGAGTCAGCAAACTTTTTCAGCAGGGGGACGGTCCACTGTCCATCAGACCTTGTGGAGTTGTGGACTATATTTGGGGGGGGCGGGGAGTGAACGAATTCCTATGCCCCACAAATAACCCAGAGATGCATTTTAAATAAAAGGACACATTCTACTCATGTAAAAACACCCTGATTCCCGGAATCTCTGCAGACCGGATTTAGAAGGTGATTGGGCTGGATTCGGCCCCTGGGCCTTAGTTTGCCTATGCATGGCTTTAAAGTTTAGTAAACCTGTTATCTTTTCTCCATTGATCAGCATCCCCCTCTCAAAGCTTGCATTGGCTGTCACTAACCACTATGCCTGACACTAATGCAGTCAAATTTCAAATAACAACCATAACCATAGCAGAACACTCTTGCGGGGATGGAATCATATTTTCCTAACATGCAAACTGGGTTTTCCTGGGGGAAAGCTATTTCCTTGTGATAGAAGTGCTTTGTTAAAAAAAGAAAAAAGAATTGTGCAGCAACTACATAATATTTTTGTTCCCCCCCATCCTCCATAGAGACCCTTACACTCAGGGTTAGTGTTTCGCTGTTGAATACCAATTTCTGAACTTCAAAATTCCCATGCCTGAATTAGTGTCATTTTGCAGGCGGTGGAGTGGGGACGAATAATACGTCGCAGACCGTAATGAGCGGTTACGAATCCATTTGGATGATTCTTACTTTTAGGACAGAAAAGTTGAATTTAAAGTAGGCTAAATGAAACGTGTTTTTCCCATGCATGTGTTTGTTGGTAATCAAGAAGAAGGGAAAACTTCCAAGGGCAATTAGGAATACAGTATCCTGGAGACAGATGTGCATTGTATTGTCTTAAGAGGAGCCATCTCCTTACAGTAATAAGTGCCAGGACAGAGCTTTATCGCATTTGAGCAAGGGCAGAGAAACAGCAGGAACTCTGAAACAAATGACCTTCTGCAGCTGACATCAAAAGCAGCAAGCTAATCCAATATAGAGCACAAATGCTTATTGGAAGGCATTTCTCTGGCTCCTCTCCCATTTGCCAAAACTGATTATATCCCACCCTGAACCCATTTGTTCCATCATGTAGATTGAACGGTGTGTTCAGAGTGGTAAATAGAACAGAGACAGTTAAAGGGGGTTATACTGAATATACGCTTTTTAAAAAAATGCTGCCTTGGACCTCCATATTGGAGGAAGAATGTAAGTTAGACATTCTGCTAATGAAAGGAATACAGGCTTTATATTTAAAATATACAAGGTGTCAGGTCCATAATTTCCCGTTTCCAGTCACTAATTTCATAGAATCATAGAATTGTAGAGCTGGAAGGGACCACGAGGGTCATCTAGTCCAGCCCCCTTCAATGCAAGAATCTTTTGCACAATGTGGGACTCAAACCCATGACTCTGAGATTAAAAGTCTCATGTTGTACCAACTATGCTATCAGTTTGATGTTAATTACCAACACATTGTTGCAATGTGAGTGGATGGTATTCAAACGGGGGTGGGGTGGGATATTAAACACAAAAGTTCCTCCCTCCTCTGCCCAAGATCAGGAATTGATGTTGGTTCAATGCATTCTCTCCTCATTCAGGTTCCCTTCGTAACATACAGAAGTGTTTCCCAGAGTTTTTGAAAGTAACCCAGGATATCAAATGACTTTTCTCTAGTGGTTTCAATATTCAGAAGGACATATGAGAAAACATGTGTAGCCAAGGACCATTCTTGATCTCGTGGCACAGGATTAAAGAATTCAGTTTTCTGACATCCTTCAAGCCTTTGTTGCAATTCCTGAAAGAAGTTTTGAACAGTACATTCTAAAAATTAGAACGCTTTCAAGACTTTGTGCCAATACTGCTGCTTCTTTTTTGTAACATCTGAGCAAATATACCCAATAAAAACAGTCATGTTGGAGCATTGGTATTGCACATGTGCTATACTACACGCACACACGCACGCACACACACACACACACTTCATAAAATTTTGTGAGACCTGACAATAAGCTTTCAAGTTATATTGAAAAGAAGTGCTTTAATCCCTGCTTCAGTAGTTCCTTATTTACTTCCTGCGCTACTGAATTCGGTGTTTCATTTTTCACTATAGATAACTTTATTTTAGATTTTCTCGACAGTCAGAGCAGATTCAGGCCATGCTCAGATGCAACAACAAAACAGGGTTTGTTTTGAGCCTTAAGGCTACATGCTTCCTTCCCTACCCCTAAAATAATTAAAGTACAGACGTACCTTAGAAGTTGAACGGAATCCGTTCCGGAAGTCCATTCAACTTCCAAAACGGTCAACTTCCAAGGCCTGGCTTCCAATTGGCTGCAGGATGCTCCTGCAGCCAATCGGAAGCTGCGCCGGACGTGTGGCTTCTGAAAATCGTTTGAAAACTGGCACAATCACTTCCGGTTTTCTATCGTTCAGGAGCCAAAATGTTCAAGACGTACAGGCGTCTGGCTTCTAAGTTTACACTGTATTCATTTCTGCCAATGAGCTGCATCAGCACTCAGCAAATGGGTGGTTTGCTCAAATTTGTTAACAAAGCAATTTGTAAAGCTGCTTGTTTGATATGTGTTTGGCTACTACCGTTCCTCACCCTTTTACCATGCTTCCCCCTTGAAGAAATTATTGAAGTTTCTCCTATATGGCGCAGCTGGAACCTTAAAATTGGCCACAGAACCAGGCCCAGGAATCAGTAAAGTGGGAGAGCAGTGGTACCTATTATAGTGGTGTTGGCAGCCATTTTGTTAATTATAATTTATTTTTGTTTCTCCAGAGTTCAGGACTCTGTTTCCTCAGCTTACAGGGGTGCTGACTCTGGCCTTCTTTATTCATAATTGTGTAATTACACTGCTTAAGAACAACAAGAACCAGGAAAGCAATGTAAGTACAGCACGAGGGATTTGTATCTACATATAATGAACCGCTCTTGTCTGAGCTGCTTTTGCATACTAGATGTGATGTGCACAGATATAAAAGAACTCGCATTCTTGGTCCTTTCCCCAAGATTCTGCCCTGCTCCTTTATGCTGCATCGCTTGTGCGTATCTTAACCGTTGGCTGGGTGAATTGGTGGGGAGGTACATGCAGGAACAACCTGTGCATACAGCAATTGGCTACTGTTGGGGTTAGATCCACATCTGAATCCTGAAGTTGAGCCATAAGACAGGGAGTAGCAGCATGCATATTATTTAGGTGAACGGAATGCCTCAAAAGAATTTGAAACGTAGATGGAACGTGTTTTCTTTTCGCATGTTCTCTCAAATAGACAAAATGGCAGCCCCCAAACTAAAATGCATGAACTAAAATGGGTTGCAAACCTTTGCCAGGGTTTAACATGGGTGGCCAACTTATTTTGCTCTGAGAGCTTCTCTTAATTTGTTCATTTGCATGAAACAAAGACATCCTGCATATCCTTTTCCTGGGCATGCTAGATAACTAATCTCCCCTAATGCGTGTGCAGTCTTCTCATTCTGAAATTATCATCCTCAAGTCTGGGAAAGTTAGTATCACTTCTAAAGATAAGCTGATATAAACAGCCAAAGAGTTGAAAAAAGCATTAGGAAATGGGGCTTTACTGCGCTGGCCTTTTCCATACTTAAAGCGTATTTGTCATTACGACTCTAAGCTAGCTTGAAGTTGTTATGAAGGCAGCAAAAGATATTAGCTGAGATAACTGTGGAGCATTTACTGATCAGGCAGGGTTCTTTTTTGCCCGTGATGAAGTATGTTTGGTTTTTATTATTTATATTCTGAGCCAGCACCTGTTCTGATAAGTTAATTATGACTCTGGTTCCATTTGTTTTTGGTAATGCCCAATTCACTTCCCCACAAAAATTAGCATGTTGGGGAAATGGCTAGGTTTCTTCTCCTGGACATCTTTGTGTAAGAATTATATTTTTTTAGTTGTATGAAGAAGTACTCAATTGCATGAGTCCCCACCTGAAGTCTTAAGTGGTAAAGTCGTATCACTTATTCTATTGTTTGCAAGAACTAGGCTGTTAGATGCTTCAGGTGTGTCCATCCCACACCCCACACCCCTGGTAACATGTTTAAACCATGTCTTTGACACAGATAAAATCTCTACCATGTTATCCAAGGTCTCATATGGAGGGTTTATTTAGCAAACTGAGCCATAAGATAGCCCTTCTTCATCATCCTTCTCTGTGTGGGGTGAGTGGGGAAAGATTCATCAATATAACAACCAGAAGAGTATCCCGTTAATATGCTGCAGGTTTGATAAGTTCTATTGTGAAAATCATAGTTGTGCTCTGAGGTTGCACTTTTATACAGTTTCGTACAAGAGGATTTTATAACAATGATTTTGCTCTGTGCCAGTTTCTATGACATCATAATGCCTCTTGAGGACTGGAACTGGAAAAATCATTGAACTGAGCAACAAAAATAAGCAGGAGTATAGAATGCCTTCCATACGTGGAGAAGCAAAAAACCACTGGGGTCCTTGAACTTAGAAAACAAATGACTAAGAAGGGATTTGATAGAAGCATATAAACCCACAAATGGGTTGAAATGGATAAATAGGGAATGAAATAGTTTGGGTTTTTTACTTTGCTTTGCTTCATGCTAGAATTAAAAAGCACCAAATACGCTTCAGGTTACATACGCTTCAGGTTACAGACTCCGCTAACCCAGAAATAGTACCGCGGGTTAAGAACTTTGCTTCAGGATGAGAACAGAAATCGTGCAGCAGCGGCGCAGCAGGCCCCATTAGCTAAAGTGGTGCTTCAGGTTAAGAACAGTTTCAGGTTAAGAAGGGACCTCCGGAACGAATTAAGTACTTAACCCGAGGTACCACTGTATATGCCGCCAGTTCCAACTTCTCCATCCTTTGACCACACTGGCTCTTCTAACACTTTCATAAACTACTACTAACAATCAAATGACACAGTTCTTAATCTGTGACACGGTTCCAATTAAGCTAGTGTGGGACAATGGTGAGAGTTTTGGAATAAGACTAGTGAGACCCAGGTTCAGATCCAGCAATGAAGATTACTGGGTGACCTTGATGAAGCGTTCTAGGTGACTTGGTGTAATCCGCTTCAAAGGGTTGTTTTGAAGATTAAATTAGATAGGAGCATGCCATATATTCTGGCTTCTCCTGCCCTTCCCTCCATGGAATTCATAAATGTAATAAACAAGCAGGCAGGCCCAAGCCTGCTTTTTCTGTCTGTTCCTTATATTCTTTCATACTCTTTAGTGATTTGGGCCAAATCCTGGAAGTCATTGGTTTACATCTAGTCTGTGAAGCTCTCCCGGTCAGAGTTTCCGACCGTGTCCACCTCTGAGGAAAACCTGTGTGGCTCATGCCAATTTCCCTCAGTTGTACTTGTCAAGGGGATTACAAACATTGACTCACAGACCTTTTACCAGCTACTTATTTCTCCTCCTCCTCCTTCCTTGATAATATATTCTCCATCTTATATCAAGACAATACCTTCACGCTCCCTCTTCCTGCCAGGCCCAAGAGCCCTGTTTGTGGGTAAGGCATCTGGAGAATGTGTTCCATAACCACTGCAGGGATTAAGTGGGAATCCTGCGTTTTAAGGCTGCCTATGTATTCTTCACATTTTTATTCTCTTTCCCCTTCCCTTTCTTCCCTTGATTCCATCTCCCAAGGAATGCTTACACAATGTATTGGGCCAAAGCCAGCGTTTTATGATGTGTTTGTACAGTTCTTTGCATGGTGGGCTGCTGATCTGTGTCTGGCGTTCTAGACGGTGACACAATACATTGTAATAACAACAGTCAAGGTCTGGTCACTCGGCAGGTTCACTCCTGTATCCTCCATCAGCCTTGTAATTTTAAACAGTTGCCTGTGGCGAAGTGCAACGGCCTCCAGGCAATGAAGCACAGGCGCTTTTGCTTTCTCCACCCTGCCACACTTTTCCCACCTGCATTTCTTTCTTGTTCTCCCACTGTTCAGCTGGAAATGCAATGCTTGGGTGGCTTCAAGAGAGGTTTGGACAAATTCATGGAGGATAAGGGCGATCAATGGCTGCTAGCCTGAACGGTGATGCTTGATCAGAGGCAGTACAGTGGTACCTCTGGTTACGAACTTAATTTGTTCCTGAGGTCTGTTCTTAACCTGAAACCATTCTTAACCTAAGGTACCACTTTAGCTAATGGGGCTCCCCCTGCTGCCACACGATTTCTGTTCTCCTCCTAGGGCAAAGTTCTTAACCTGAGGTGCTACGTCCGGGTTAGCGGAGTCTGTAACCCGAAGTGTTCATAACCCGAGGTGTTTGTAATTCTTCTGAATACCAGCTGCTGGAAACCAAAGAAGGGAAGAGTTCTCTTGCACTCAGATCTCGCTTTTGAGGGTTTCGCATAGGCAGCTAAGTGGTCACTGTAAGAACAGGATGCTGGACTAAATAGGTCATTGGCCTGATCTTGTTATGTTCTTAATGTCAAGAGAGGAAAAGAATGCTCTGGGATTAGATATGTGCAGATTTTATATTTTTTAAAAATCAATTTCAGTTTGTAATATATATATTTTATTACTGTTGATCTTATTCATACTTTTTTAAAACAAAAAACTTATTTTAGCCTTGACCTTTATTAACTATTTAATGGGTGTTTTAAATGTTTTGTAAATTCTGGTAAAACAAATGCTTTATGACCCATCCTGTTCTTCTGATGGTAAATTGTTTTTTAGCTAATTTTAATATTGTATTTTTGTATTGTTTTGACCAGCCGTAGGACCATATAGTGAAGGGTGGATAAGAAATCCAATGAATAGTAGGAATAATATTTAGTAGAGCTGGTGGTAGGCAATCATACCTCTGAAAATATATTCACCAAGCAGGAAATGTACTGTGATTGTCTTGTCAAGAATGCAGGCCCATAGCTTCAGCTCTGCGTTCAGAAGGACTGAGGTGTCTCTAGTTAAAGGAACTTGGGTATCAGGACTCAGAATGACCCAGGATCAATTACTGAACGAACACTATCAGGCTAAATGGACTTGGTCTAAGCCTGCTTCACTTACGTCCATAAACATGCTTACATAGTCAGGGCTGCTAACTGAAAACATGTCTGAGGGTGAACTTCGACAGAATTTGACAGCTTTCACCAGACACTAACAGACCCTGCTATCTTGTTTGATCTTTTGTTTAGTTTCTACCCCTCACCATTGCAGAGGTATGTTTAAAAACACGTAGGTGATGTTTAAAAAGGCATTTCTGTTTGGGGTTTGGGGGATGTATGTCTTCTGTGGCTGTATATGTTTGTTCCTTGCTCACAGCCACTAATCAGTTTTTCCTAACTGTATACTCCTCTTCCCCATTACTGATCTGCGTCTTCTCTTGCTACTACCCTGCTCATTGCTACAATAACAAAATCCACAATAAATGAAGCATTGAATACAGTTGGACAGAACTTCCAATTAAACATGCATGGGATTGTGGCCTCTGAATGTATCCATCTCTAGCAAATGTAAAATAAGCACATTTGCTGCTGTGAGGGTAGTTTTTTTAAAAAAATGATTAAAATGCACTATTTGACTCCATCCAAAGAGGTTTTTGTGGCAAGATCTGTTTGTGTGGTGGGTGCTTTTAACTTATTTTGTTTTGTTTCCTGCACAGCAAGTCTCTTGTGCTCCTTGTACAACTGGGGAGCTTTCTCTGTGTGCGTTTTAGTGTTAGAAGCAGCTTCCAATAGGTTTAATATAAAAGTACAGACTTTTTTTTTTTTTACTTTCAATACAACTCCTCCCATCATGATTTAATTATTCTGTTAACATTTACCATTTCTTGTGGAGCTGTGTTCCTATTCTACATATTACTGGAAAATGTTCTTTTCTCAAAGTACCGTCATTGCATTGTATCCTCATAATACTTAAAATTAAGATGGAAAACAATAAGTTCTGGTCTCATTTACCCGAATGGAAATGGGGATATTCAAATCATATGCTTTCATTAACTTTGGTGGTGGTAGGGATAGTTAATTTGAGAAAGGAGCTTCATATGACTAAAGTTCTGCCAAATTACGCAGTTTTGTTATGGCTGATTTCCCCCCCTGCTTGTTTTTTTTTTTTAACTGCAGGTCAGAGATCTTTCCATTGCCTATTTTCTGGTGGGTTTAACTTATCTCTATGTTGGGATATTAATCTTTGCTGCTTTTCCATCTCCACCATTATCTAAAGAATGCATAGAACAGGTAAGGAGGAACTTTATTGTATACTGACAGTGTTGTAAGCTGCATAGAATGGATATTGCTGCTTTCCTTGTTCTTTTTAGTTCCCTCTCTTTTCAATTGAGAGGGACGCGGGTGGCGCTGTGGGTAAAACCTCAGTGCCTAGGACTTGCCGATCGTATGGTCGGCGGTTCGAATCCCCGCGGAGGGGTAAGCTCCCGTCTTTCGGTCCCAGCTCCTGCCCACCTAGCAGTTCAAGTGCAAGTAGATAAATAGGGACCGCTTTATAGTGGGAAGGTAAACGGCGTTTCTGTGTGCTGCGCTGGTGCTGGCTCGCCAGCTGCAGCTTCGTCACGCTGGCCACGTGACCCGGAAGTGTCTCCGGACAGCGCTGGCCCCCGGCCTCTTAAGTGAGATGGGCGCACAACCCTAGAGTCGGACACGACTGGCCCATACGGGCAGGGGTACCTTTACCTTTACTTTTTCAATTGATTCCGATCTCCTTAGCATAAACACTGCACACATTTGATGGCACTAAGCCAGAACTGTGGACAAGGGCACACATAAAGCAACACTGGGTTTGTCTAGCTAAGGCTGCACTGATATGGTGGGAAAACACGTTAGTGCGGAAACAACACTGGGTTAGTTTCTTTAACTGTGAACGGATTCTGGTGATTACATCTTGGCTTAAGAAGCTGATATATGAACAAGCCTTTTCCTGGCGTGCCGTTACTTACCAGCTTCAGAGAAGCCACAATCTTTTTTTAGTTATTTTTTCTTTGGTTTTTAAACAACAAAAACAAACTTCAGAACAGACATTCAATATTTTACTCTGATTAGCCTGCCAAAAATCCAGATTATAGCCCACATTCTAGGCAAACCAGGAACTTAAACCACAGTCTGAAGTTTGTTTAAGTTCCCAGTTCAGATGAAATGGGACAGCATGGCACATTAAGACCTTTGGTTTAATTGTGGCTCATGGGAGGGGGAGGCAAGCATGGGCAAAATATTCATTACATATCTCTGCCTGTTCAGGTGAGATACGATTGTCCAAACTGGCTCACTGTCTAAAGTGAGACAACAGTTCCTAGCAGTAGGTCGAGTTTTATATGGGCACCTGCAGCTGCAAATCCAGGAACAAATCAAATTCGTAGGTACCACAAGGGTTGTCTAGTCCAACCACCTGCAATGCAGGAATCCAAAAGAATACTGTATCTGAAACTGAAAAAAGTCAACAGAGGAAATATTAAGGGGAAGTTCAAAATAGGAGGACTATTGCTAGTCACTATGTGATTTGCCTCAGCCAAGAAAATCCCTCCTCCTTCCTCTAAATCAACTGTAAGACCTGAAGTCTGCAGCCTGCAGAAAACAAAGAGACCAAAATTCACATGCATGGAGTTAGCATAATCTAGCCAGACATTGTTGGACTCCAGCTCCCTTTAGCCCCAGCCAGCATGGCCAGTGGCCAAGGATGATGGTACTTGTAGTCCAAAATGTTTGAATGGCAAACTGATCTAGGGTTGCGGAAGACTGGTCTAGCCATATCCATAGGTATGGCTTCAAACAAATATCTGAGGTGGTCAAGAATGGTTGGTTTGCTTTGGCATGGCTGCTGTTGTGTAAGCAAGACCATAACTTTCTGGCTTGTACTACATTTACAAGAAATTTCAAAGCAGGCAATAGATAAGGATCTTGCCTCTTGTTTTGAGTTAGAACAGCCTATTCTCACTAATACTCGCGGTGCCAAACAAATGGTCCCCAAAATAGCTATTTATTTGAATTCCCCTGCCATCTAGAAAAAAAATAAAGCGGCAATTTTCACTTTGTTTTTATTCATATGAAGTTGCGATGCATGTATAGAGAAGATGCAAGAAGATACATTGGAATGGTTTTGTCAATGTATATATGCTGTTTCTAATTCGATCCTGATTTGTGTATTGGGAGCTAAAATGGCAACACCACTACATATCTAAGTGCACTACATATGCCTCTTTAGCAGTTTAGTCATGCCAGCCACATGACCCAGAAAACTGGACAGATGCCAGCTCCTTCGGCCTGAAAAGCAAGATGAGTGCCGCACCCCATAGTTGGCTTTGACTGGACTTAACCATCCAGGGGTCCTTTACTTTTTTTAAAAAAAGTACATATGTACTGCTAGCATAGCGTATGATACACCACTAGGACATCTATGGGCCTCGGAGTATAAGAATTTGCCCCAGGTAGTAACTGGATATTATGACCTCCTTATATATGGGCTCTATATTCACTTTTTAAATTCAGGGAACTAAACTACTGTGACTAATTGGGTTATGTTTGGGGTGTATGTGTATGTGTAGGGACGCGGGTGGCACTGTGGGTTAAACCACAGAGCCTAGGGCTTGCCGATCAGAAGGTCGCGGTTCGAATCCCTGCGACGGGGTGAGCTCCCGTTGTTCGGTCCCAGCTCCTGCCCACCTAGCAGTTCAAAAGCACGTCAAAGTGCAAGTAGATAAATAGGTACCGCTCCGGCAGGAAGGTAAACGGCATTTCCGTGCGCTGCTCTGGTCCGCCAGAAGCGGCTTAGTCATTCTGGCCACTTGACCCGGAAGCTGTCTGCGGACAAACACCGGCTCCCTCGGCCTATAGAGCGAGATGAGCGCACAACCCCAGAGTCGTCCACGACTGGACCTAATGGTCAGGGGTACCTTTACCTTTTTATATTCACTTTTTAAATTCAGGGAACTAAACTACTGTGACTAATTGGGTTATGTTTGGGGTGTATGTGAGTTCTGTTTGAGAGAGAGGGTTTTAGCTGGGGCATAAGCATCTCCAGTACAGGAAACCTAACAAATATGGATGACGATTGTAGCATAGCCTGTACAAATTGTATACATGAGAATGACTGCTGTTGATTTAGAAAATCCTCATGTGCATAATTGTGGAAGCAGAAGAAGGTACACACTATAACTGTCATTGTTGCTATCTCATTAGCCATTTCTTCTGTCAGAATTTTTTAGACAACTTCCCCAGTAATGACATCATGTCATTTCTGGCAAGAATATTCCTGCTGTTCCAGATGGTGACTGTGTATCCACTGCTTGGATACTTGGCACGAGTTCAGCTATTTGGACACCTCTTTGGAAATGTTTACCCGAGGTAAAGACAGCTCTTTTTGCATGCATCTGCCTTCTGCCTGACCACGATCACTGCCGTTCCTGGACACATCGCTGCTTCTCACTTGCATCCGTCCAGGCAGTCATTTGGTATTGAGTAATAGTAGCTTCCCACTTGCAATCCTTCTGCAGCCCAGGATGCGAGTGGCGCTGTGGGTTAAACCACAGAGCCTAGGGCTTGCTGATCAGAAGGTCAGTGGTTTGAATCCCCGCAACGGGGTGAGCTTCCATTGCTTGGTTGCTTGGTCCCTGCTCCTGCCAACCTAGCAGTTCGAAAGCATGAAGTGCAAGTAGATAAATAGGTACCACTCTGGCGGGAAGGTAAACTCTGCTCTGGTTCGCCAGAAGCAGCTTAGTCATGCTGGCCACATGACCTGGAAGCTCCCTCGGCCAGTAAAGCGAGATGAGCGCCGCAACCCCAGAGTCGTCCGCGACTGGACCTAACGCTCAGGGGTCCCTTTACCTTTACCTAATAGTAGCTTCCTACTTGAAATCCTTTTGCAGCCCAGGAGCTGCATCATGTTATGCAGGAATTGAAAAGAGGTAATCCGGTACCTATTTAACATTATCAATGGCTGCTTTTGAGCCACCTTTCAGACACTTTAGGAGTGTCACGTGACTGGCATCTAAACCTTCCTGGTACAATAAGATGCAGTTCCCTCTTTCAGAGACTGAAGCTGTTCAGTGTGGGACAGTCCTTGGTCCTACCCTACCCCGTCTGTCAAGTCTGCTTTAAAACGATGCACGCATCTTCAAACTTCATTTGCTTGCCTTCAATGTTATGTCATGCAATGGACTCCGTAGTACATTTTCCTATCTTCATCTTTGAACTCCAGCATACTTCCTGCAGGACAGTCTGTCCTGATTTTCATAGTCTTTGCAATTCAGAACCAACGTTTTCTTTTAAGTCCCAGAACTTGCAAATGTGGAAACTGCTGTTTTATAGCTCCTGGCAACAGAACTCCAGAAAAGATGTATAAAAACCAGATAGCTACAATTTTGGAGTGAAAATGCAATTTTTTAACTACCCCTATTTGGCAATAAGTTCAGAACCCATCTTAGTTATATCTAAGGAAGAATTAAGCAGTTTATCCACTGCTCAGTAACACATTACTGACAACTTAGTTTTGTTTAGAAACACATTGTTCCTGGTCTGATTCCTAAGTGGGGTCTGTCAACTGTCCAAAAGTTTCAGCTTTATCGGATGCCAAATATATGCATCTACTTCCTGATGGGGATGGGATAACTGGAGTATATTACGCCCATGTTTTGGCATCTATACAGGCATTGTAATGGTCTTCAGACTCAGCTTAGACTAATGGGTATGGAGGCTTTAATGGCTTGGGGTCAGCTTTTCCTCCTCTACGTCCTAACCTAAATGCTAAGGTCTACCTTACACTTATAACCAGGCATCCAAAAGGTACCCCAGTCCCCTACTGTAGCATAATAAGTAACTCATAATTAGCTATCCTTACATGGCACCCAATATCCGTTGCTCGAGGCAGTCACAGTCTATGATGTGGTGCTATGGTTGGAGTGTAGGGGCAATATTTATCTAAATAGTTGTGCTACTGCAAGGATTAGGGCTAGTGCAATAGGATGTCCCCCTCTCCCTCTGCGCTCACCCCACACCACCTCCCAAGAACCAGAGACTACCTTTGCATTTTAAGATGGGAACAGGGGAGGGAGTCTGATTCTTTCTAAGTCTTAATACATTGCAATATTCCAAAAAAGTGAAATTAACACCTTGGGAGGAAAGGTTTTTAAAGGATATGTTTCTCATGTTCTGAATTTGCAGAGACTTACGAAGCAACCTAGTAGATTTTATATATAAAGGTTTTTATCTTTTATTTAAATATCAAAACATACCATTTTTAAGCACATGTCGTTCTAGGTTTCCTAGAAGTTTCTGAATCAGTATTTCAAACAAGTTCATTGCTTTGCTTGCATTCAGAGATTGGTCTTGTTGAGAATGTGAAAATTCTTTCTAGTTAGAAAAAAATACATCTTTCCAGTTAAAGAATTCAGAGGAGTACAATAAACCTTCCCATTTGTACCATAAGAGATCTAGTTTAATGAACATTGTTCCTAGTCATGAACCTTGAAAAGCCAAACATTTATTTAATCTAAGAAAAAATGCTCAAGATCTGCTTGTGTAGATGCATTTAGTGTAATGCTTTCCACTCTTCCGAAGATTCTTCCTCTGGTACTCATTAGTCTGCTTGCTCAGCTCAAATCATTTCCTGGATCGAAAGCACTGCTTTTCATGTGGGAGTTCTGTTCTAGAGTCTTTGGGTTTGGAGTAGTTGCGGGGATTGTTTTCATGTTTTGCTTTTTTTATATTAAAAAAAAACCTGCGTTCAAAAAACAAAACAAAAAACCCACCACCGAACCCTTGGGGTGCTGCATATTCCACAAGCTACATTGTTTTCAGAAGAATTGCCAAATCATACATACCCTATTTGGGAATGAGCTGGCAAGTCCAAGCATTCAAGAGAACTTTTTAGGATCTGGCACTCGGTGGCTTCAGTAGATGTCAGGCTTGTTGCGGGTAGAATTAATTGCCTTTAGCATATGAGTCATAGAAATGGAAAGACTTTCACAAGCTTACTGAAGCGAGTAAAGAATGTTGTTCTTGCAGCAACAACACACAATGTAGATGACTTGATTTTCCTCTTCTCTTGCAGTTTCCTACACGTGCTGGTTTTGAATATAGCCATGGTAGGAGTTGGAGTCGCGATGGCTATGTTTTACCCAAACATAGGAGGAATCATAAGGTACTCCTGTATTTTGCGTTTGGTCATTATGCCATACAAATGGCTTCCTGCAGGCAGGTACAGACTGTTGTTCAAAGTGCAGATTGTAAGTTTGTAATAGCAGCAGGCAAAGTCAGCATTTGTTCAGGGAAGCCTAAGAAAACAAAGAATCATCATGTCCTGTTGACAAATGAGTAGAACGAGAAGGCAGAATTTTTAAGTACTAGAGCAAACTGTACAATTTCAGTCCATTGGGGGATAGGGGTGCCACTTTTAATGCTCCCTATCATGAAATAAATAGTGCATTAGAGAGTCAGGGAGGGATGAAGCTTCTGTCCTTGCCAACTCCCTGTTGTGCTAATTTTCTACTTGCAAGGAGCTTTCCACATGCAGTAATTTTCAAAAGCCTGATTCGGCTGCCTGCAGTCGGACATGGTACAGAGTCCAGGGGTCAGCAAACTTTCTCAGTCCACTGTCCCTCAGACCTTTTGGGGACTGATTTTGAGAGGGGGAAATGAACGAATTCCTATGCCCCACCAATAATCCAGAGATTCTACTAATGTAAAAACACCAGGCAGGCCCCACAAATCACCCAGAGATGCATTTTAAATAAAAGCACACATTCTACTCATGTAAAAACACGCTGCTTCCCGGACAGTCCACGGGCTGGATTTAAAAGGCAATTGGGCCGGATCCGGCCCCTGGGCCTTAGTTTGCCTACCCATGGTACAGATCATTCTGTCACTTCAGAACTCTATTTTCTCATTCCTCCCTAATTCAGCTGCATGCATAGACGAAGCGTCACATTGCAACTATCACATAGAAGAGATTTACCGTGAAGCCCATAAAGACAACCATACTAGCTGGAGCCGGGCAACTCTTTTGCCCTGGTATAGTTTGGTCAGCTGCATCATCCTCCCAGGTGGCCAGGTAGCTTTTGCCACACATCTGCTTCAGCTGTATAGTAAAGTATATGGTAGGATGTGTGATGAAATGGTAATCTGCATGTAACTGGTACAACCCATTGGCACACTAGCATGAGTAGGTGAGGAGAGTCTCCCAAAAACTAGTACAATAAGCCTGCAACATATGTGGGGAGTTGTGTTCTGGGGATGGTGCCTAAACTGAATGCACAAAAGTTACATGCGCCCATATCGCGGGCTTTCTGTTCTTCGTAGCTTATTTCCTTGGATCTTGGCCAAGCCCTTACAGAATCACTATTGAATAAAATGGAGTTCGCACGAGTAGAGTTACAGTTCAAAACCAGCGGCGTTTTTCACATTTTCCCAATTGCATAAGGCAGGGGTGGGGAATTGCAGGCCTTGGAGCCGAATGCAACCCTCTAGGCCAATGGCGGAGCAAGCCGATCAGGCGTCTGGGGCAGGGCCAGCCGGGACAGGACGCTCTGTGGGGCCTCTGAGGAGTCTGCCTGCCTCCTCCCACTCAACCACCCTACAGCTGAGGGGGAGGCAGCAGACTGACTGTTTGGGGCAGCACAGAGCCTGCGGGCGCCCAAGCCACCATGTACTCCCAGAAGAGCCGCGTGGCTCGAGTGTGCTTCAGGCCCTGCGGTGAGTGCTGCCTGGCATTTTGTCACCCCCCTCAGTGGTAACACCCGGGGCATCCCACCCTCACCACACACCCCTTCCTCTGCTCCTGCTGTAGGCCTCTGTGCCTGCTCTCGGCCCTCCCCATACCACACCCCTCACTGACCCTGCTCACCACTTCCTCCCTGAGTGTTTTTGCCTGGCTGGAATGTGTCCCTTAACTCTGATAATGCCTCTTCCTAGTTGCAATGGACTGTGTCAAAACTAGCCTACCGTACAAAGGTACAATTTTACTTTTATTGTCCCACCCATTTTTGGCTCTGGCTTGGCCCACCACTGGCATCTGGCCCTCAGATGATTTCACAGGGGTGAATGTGGCCCTCTGTCTGAAAAATGTTCCTCACCCCTGCTGCAAGGGAAGAGAGGGGCAGCTGAGAAGAGGAAACTGAAAGGATTTTGCTGTATTGTTCTGCTCATAGCAGCCATTTAATATTTAGACATACTTCAACTGCTTCTCCTCTCATTGTGGACTGAGAGCTGGGTTTTTTCCCCTACAATAAAATTTCTAAGGCAGAAATCCTATGCCCACTTACATGGGAATAAACCCCCGTAAACTGAGGGGAATTTACTTCTGAACAGACATCTAAAGGGTTGCACTGTAAAAGATCAAACTTTGGGTTTTCCCCCCCTCCTCAGGTATTCTGGAGCAGCTTGCGGCTTGGCCTTTGTATTTGTGTATCCATCACTCATCTACATGATCTCTTTGCATCGGGAAAATCGGCTGACGTGGTTGGCTATAGTTGTCCATAGTACGATAATCCTTCTGGGAGTGGCTAACTTAATTGCACAGTTCCTAATGTGAACATAAATCTTAAGGTCAGTTTCTTTTTCAAGAGAAGATTCAATAGGTTACCTTGAGCAACAGCATTGTAAAAGCTGTGGACTGCCTATCTGTGGGGGCCGAATTCTTCCAAAGAAAAGCTGTACTTTAAAACAAAACGTCTCTTCAAGAAATGGATGGTATACATTGGAACACATAGTACAGTGTGGCAAACTGAACAGCCCCAGTGAATTTCTGATGAAACATCAAGTAGAAGTGCAATTGGGATTAATTAAGCTTAAGTTCTTAGGTAAATGCATATATTTTTTTCAAAGGGAAAAAGGCACATGATAAACTTTATATATAGAAACGGTTGGTTGACTTTTCTTGCAGCATAATAGAATTAAGGGACTCTGCTGATCTTAAAAATTATATATCATATTTCACACAGTGGTGACATGAGTATTATATGTCGAAACAAGTGGTTTGAAATCCTTTGCAAGTGAAATGTAGCACAGATCAAATTGAAGAACATAACTTTTTAAAAAGCTGTAACTGTTGCCTTTTAGAAAATGTAATGTACATGGTTCTTGAAAACGGACTGTTGCTGTACTATACCTGGATATGCATAAGAATTCTTTTTTTGATGTTTCAAGGCAAGCAGAAATATGTTTTACCTTTCCAACCTGGAAGGGATTATTTGTAAAACTCTCTAGTGTTTGTGATTAGTACTTGAAGGCCGTTTCTAGGAAAGTTGACCTTTTTGAGCCAAAATCTGGGAGGGGATGGTAAGATTAGCATGCATGCATGCATGCACAAAGATTGGTCACAATGCTCTTCCTACATTTCCAGCCACAGTTCAGAGAACTAGTTTGACTTTTTAAAAACCTGTACAATCCAATAGTTACCATACACTGAATCAAGAGATCTGCTGGCAGAATGGCCACTGCACCCCCAGTTTGCTCAGCCCAGTAGGGGAGGAAGTAAATACAGAAGAAGAATCTATATGAAAACAATTGAAAGTGGCATACACAGTTGTACCAATCCCAGAAGCCTAACTGCAGCCTACACCACCACTTGCATGCTGCCTGTACTCAGAGGCTGCCAAAGAACCTGCAGCAATCAGGGTGGATGTCATCAGCCTGCCTCCCAGCATCACAGCACTCAACACCAGAAGGCACCTACTCCAGTAGCCCTAGTGACTCATTGCCTATGGCATGGGCTTGGGAAGCAGGAGATGGGAGTTTGAGCCTCAACAGGAGCTGACATTCCCCTGTTCACCTCTTGCACACCTGGGGTGGGGGGGAGAACCAAAGCAAATGTCAGGGGCAAAAGAGAGGGAGCTGTTGTGCAAGGAGCTGGGCACTCCGCTCACCCTTCTAATAGTGGCTAATGGCGAGGGAGCCCCACACAGCTGCTGCACAGTCCAGCTACTGGATCCTCTGCCGAAGTGCCCCAAGAAGCTTATGCACCTTGCCCTGCTGTCCAGGGCAGCAGATGATCAGCCCAGGGAGCTCACCCTTCTAATAGTGGCTAATGGCGAGGGAGCCCCACACAGCTGCTGCACAGTCCAGCTACTGGAGTCCTCTGCCGAAGTGCCCCAAGAAGCTTATGCACCTTGCCCTGCTGTCCAGGGCAGCAGATGATCAGCCCAGGGAGCTCACAGAGAGGTGGGCAGGCTCCTAGGAGCCAGAGCAAAGAGACACATTTTTTGCACCTCCTAGACCTGCACCCTCGGTGGGGGCCAATCTAACCAACCCCTGCTTGGGGACAACCCTATTCTAGGAAGGGGGGAAAGGCCTAGCCTACCGTATCTCAACCAGTCACCAAGAGTGTTGCATGAGCCAATAGCCTGCTCCTAGATGGGCCAACCAGCCTTTCTAGCCCACCCTCAGCAAGCCATATGACTAATCCACTCTCAACACGTGGCTGAATAGGAAAGCCATGCCAGGTAACATCCCAGCAGGACTCTTCCTCTTCATACAAAGTTTGGGGAATGAGAGAGTCTCTACCCCGATAGCCCATCGTTCCCTGCCCTCCCCAAGTCCCAGCCTGAGACCAGCTGATGCCAGGGTGAATTGCATCCTAAATAGGGTCTCTTCCCTCCTCTATCTGTATGAGGCTCTTCTATATTGACTATTGATAGACTGTGAGAGGGGAGGGGTAGTTGTGCCTGGCAACCAACCGGAAAGGACCTTGTACTTTTCTCTCTTCCTCTGCTGTGGGGCAGAATGGCTGGCAGCCAACACACAACCTTCACTGCCAAGAAGAGATGCTGATGAAGGCCACTAACGACATATCGCTTTAGGAAGGGATACAAATTAATGGAGAGAGAGGGGTTCTTTGTCATGATGACTACATTCAACTTTCAGGTTAACTGCTGGAGGGTAGGAGCAGGAGAGAACTGTTGGGAGTCATGTTCTGCTCATGGGGCTCCAAGAGGCCCCTGATGTGGCCAAATTGGGGAACAGAATGCTGATGATCTTTTGGTTCTGACCCAACGACTCTGTTTATGATTATCTTACACTCTTAACAGCAGCAAGGTATGCTCAAAGTAACAAGAGTTGGCTGCAGTTATACTTCATATCTAGATTCCTCTTTCACAAAATCCATTATTTAAAGGACTCTGCTGGCGGAGGCCTTGTTAGTTTCAATAGAGACTACACCAGTGTCATGTTTTCAGGGTCCACATGCCTGTCTTCGAGAGTAAATGTCAATGTGATTATTTTTTTTCATAAGATCCGGACTTTTTAAAGTGTGCTTATGTTGGACACTTGTTGTGACATGATAGCATTGATGCACATCCTGGAAAAGTTCCAAGATTTCCTAGATCAGGAAATTCCCTAAAGTTGGGAAACTGCTTTTGTCACCACTCTATCCTCTATCTATGCACTCTATTTAAACGTAATAGAACTCACATATACGTAGGTGGAAACTAGGGACAGAAGGTGTCTGAACAAGTGCCAGGGTTTTTTTTACTGGCACAATCTGCTGCGCTGCGCACAGGAGGCAGTTGCTGCAACCTGGGACCTGATTTTCCCCTAGTCCTCAAGGAGGCCTTCAATTGAAGCAGGGAGCAAATTAGCCAGTTTATTGCATAGCCTTGTATGCACTAATCCAGGATTCTTAGGCAGTGCCAGCAGATGGGGACAAACTCCCTAGTGCAGGCATCCCCAAACTCTGCCCTCCCAGCTGTTTTGGGACTACAATTCCCATCATCCCTGACCACTGGTCCTGTTAGCTAGGGGTGATGGGAGCTGTCCCAAAACAGCTGGGGGGGGGCAAGTTTGGGAATGCCTGCCCTAGTGCCACTGCCATTTGGTTCCTTGGTTTGGCATTGGTGTCTCTTCAAAGAAATGACATGAAACAAGAATATGAGAAACTGTAAAGAAACAGACAATAAAATAAACTGGTGCTATTTTAATGGTTTAAAAGTGTACTTTTATCTTGCACGCAGAATACAGTTTTGATTTTTGTCATGTAGAATGGAAGATGGATAACTTGCGCACTGTTGTTACATGTGCCAGCAAAAGATAAGAATACCTGGGTGGTCATGTGTACTTTGCCATTGTTGGAACACATTTTACGCACGTGCGTTTTGAGAAGTTTGGTTTGCTAAGCTACAAAAATTAATAATGAGGTTCTGTCTCTTGAGAACTGTACTGAAGTCTCAGCACAGCTGGGACAAACCATAATTAAAGGTTACCAGATTTTGGAGGATGCTCTTTCCATTTAAGTTAATGGCTGCTGAGTCGTTTTAGTGGGAGGGGGAAATGCCCTCAAACTTTGCCTTTGTCTCCCACCCAAAGCTCTAATAATTACCCAATTATAATTTCCTGAAAGGGGCATTTATTGCAAGTAATTAAACAGCAACCTCTAGGTTATAGATGTAAGCAAGCTGAGCAAAAAAAGCACCATTGATGCTATTCCAGCCAGTCCTTTTACTGCAGCTTCTTTGTGATAGAGCTAAATGCTTTGCATCTTAATTTGACTGGGATAACCAAATCAGTTGTACTTTGGGCTTAAGAATATGATCTACTGCCTGTTTTGTTTAAGAGGTTCCATCTGCTGCTAAAATCATGTGTCTTTTGTGCCCTTTTCTGATTCTCTCAATGACCAGTGTTTCCTCAAAATTTGACTGACAAATACATGAATGTGGGAGAAGGCGATCTACTGTATATTTGGGGAAGTTGTTCGCTATACATCTGGAGACCTCTTAAGATAATTGTAACCAAGCGTGAATGGCTCCTCCCAAGACTGAAGAGCAGGTTTTTGTCTGTTTGGTTAACGTTGGATGCCACTTCAAATCAAGATGGCAAACTGAGTCCTTCAAAACTGCACTGCATTTTGTTGGTTTCTTAAAATTGCTGGTCAGTGTTGTACACAATGCTGCTGGCTGACTAAAAACTGAAGCATAATGCTGTTTGCTTCTTATGCTGTATGTGTGCACACGTATATAGTATCATAACAAAATTTGCAGCCAGGATTGGGAATTCCTTAGGTATGCTGGAGAAGCAATGCATCTGGTCTTTCAGGGGTGGAGTCTGTCCCTCTGGTCATTATTGTAGCATATATGATAGATTTGAGCGCATATATATATATATATATATATATATTGAACAAAATAAAGTAAATCAAAAGTGCATAAAGAGAAAAAAGTATAAAAAACCCTAGGTTTATTATATCACAAACAAATGCAATTCCATATATGTTTGTCTAGTATATGGTTATACAAGTGTTATTATCATCCCAATACATATATGGTTATTTATAACCTACTTTTTAAAAAAATAATCACATTCCAAATATTAGTCATACCTTGGAAGTCGAACAAAATGAAATCCGTTCTGGAAGTCAGTTCGACCTCCAAAACGTTCGGAAACCAAAACGCAGCTTCTGGCCGCAGAAGCCCCATTGGACATTTGGCATCCAAAAGAACGTTAAAAAACCTGAACACTTCCGGGTTTTGATCGTTTGGGATCCAATTTGTTTGGGAGCCAAGACGTTTGAGATCCGAGGTACGACTGTATCATCATACTTCTCAACTGTTGAGTCTACGACTGTAAGCAATCTGTTCATAAGTTGCAAATGTTGTCGTATCTTCAATCTGTTGACTGAAGAGGGCCATAGATTTATCTTTCCAGTGCATTAATACCAGTCTTTTGGCTGCAGTAAAGGCACAAAGGATCCATTTACGTTGTACCGTTGTCAGATCCTATGTAGTAGGTACGTAAGAGAGAGATGTGAAGTGGGAGGAGCAGAGACAGCTGCACCGGCAGAGTCTCATATTGCTTGAGAAGGACACGGGAGATAAGAAGGCTTAGGCAGCTGTAGGAAGCTGGGAACCTTCAGTTCCAACTGTCATAGGAGCAAGACCTGTGCTTCTTAGGCCTGGCACTACCGAGCAGCCTTGTTTCTTCTAATAAAGAGTTCACTTGCTCCGTGTGATTTATTGCTGACCCGCTCCTGGCACCAATATTGCAGGATCAGGACTGTGTCTGAGAGAACGTGAGTGATGCCAGCCTTGCAAAGCAGCTGCATGTTATATTCCTTTTTTCTGGGGAGAGAGGTGAGTTATCATAGTATATGACAACCTTTAGTTTAAAAGTTCCTTGATGGATGATGGCTTATCTGCTAATCAGCATTGTTAGTTTCCTTAGCCTTACTCCACCCTTCACCGAAGCCCATTTTCTTCCTTTCTTTTCCTGAACTTAACTTTTCCTTGGGCAACTCCAGTGGATTGTGTCCCAGCTTGTCTTTTAGCAACATGTCGCACAAATTATTTAGTTGGAGGGTTCCCCCCCGCCCCGAGAACCAAATTTTTAAATATAAGCCTACAGAAAAAGTAGAGCGCTTGCACTGAGAAAAAAAATATATCTTGAAAATCATATGCATACAGGGCAACCGAATGCTCTGATCAGATGCAAACGCCTGCTAACTAATGCAGGTTACTTTGGCCTTATGAAAACAAACAGAACAAGAATGGGCCCAGAGCTGATGTGACATTTTCATTGTAAGTGGGGTTTGGCATAATGAAGAAAATGGTGGTGATTAGAAGCTTTCTTGGCAGTGAGCTCCTGCTTCTTGCCATGTCAGAAGCCTTCAAAGTGCTAATAGTTAAACAGAAAATGTCTGTAGTGAGGTATTTATATCTGCATGTTATTTCTTATTTATATCTGTATGTTACTTCTTGGCTATGCACAGGGAAAAAAGCATACACATCATGCACACAATGGCCTAATTCAGTAAAATAAAAATGTGTAACAGATTGCTCAGTTTGCTCAAGAAAAGCTTTGAGACAGCTGCTGCAATGAAGAGGTTTAAGTAACACCGCTGTCTGATTTTTAATTCGACAGGCCCTGAAGGGGTGCATAAACAAACCTGTCCCTTTTTATTTGCAGTTTCCTCCAGATACCCATGGAAAGTCTACAGCCAGTGGTATCTCCCTTGGCAACAAACCTCCATGTCTGAGTGAGTGTAGTGCAGCTGGGAATTTTTTGAACAGGTTGGTTTGGGGAATCAGTTGATTCTTTAAACCTGGAAGCACCTGGATTGTGGTGTTCGTAGCACCTTGGCTTAAACTGCCTATAGTTCCCTCCTCAGCCCACCAGTCCCAAAGAGATGGAGCCAGTGCCTGACTCAACAATGCTCTTGTTTTTGAACGCCATGACCCGCAACACATATGCATAACTGGATCAAGGTGACCAGGTTTAGATAATTAACTTAAAACCTATCACAAGGTCTTCAAATGTGCATGTTTCAGAGCTGATTGTTCTAGGATAGAAAACAGTTTATACTTGATAAAGCAGTGTGAATTTGCATTCTCCCTATATCAAAGGGGTAAATGAGAGACAATGTGCCCACTCATTGGAGAATGATGGTCAATCTCTCCCCCAGCCTCCTAGAAATACCAGCTGCTGGTGCAGGACTTAGTGTACTTATTGCACACCTTAGCAGCCTGGCTTGCACACAGTTCTCTTGAGTATAGACTAATTAAGCATGATTTCGGGACGGTGCACGTAGCTGTTTGTGTGTTGAGTTATGGGCAGAGAGACCAAATCCCAATGCATTCATAAAGTTCACTGTATAATATTCGGCCAGTCACACACCACCTCAGCCTAACCTACCTCATAGGCTTGTTGTGAAGATAAAATAGGCAAGAGCTATGCACACCAATAGGACGTACATGTAAAAATGTATTTTAAAAAATTAGAGAGAGCAGCAGACCAAGCAAAGCAGCATCCTTGCAGTTTCACATAAGCCCTGTGCCAGCAGCCCAGTACAATAAGACACATTCTGTCATTTCATATTGTTGGAGCAGGGAGAAGAGCTGCCAATACAGGTTTTCTGTACCTCCATTTCTGAGTGGGATATACTGGCTGACAGGTGAGAGCTTTGGATTTCAGCAACAGTAAACTTCAGGTTTTGCAACCATTCTTTAAAAAATGATTTTAAACTCTTAAAAGCAATGTCCAGGTTAAGTGCCTTCTTGACCACAACTCTTGGCCACCGTATGCCCTTCGACAACAGGCTCAAACCATGCATCCATCCACTTTGCAACAGATGATGATTACGGATTTCACAGAGTTCAAAGCAGACAGCTGTTGCAAAACACATTTATAACTAATTTATTGCAGTCCCAATGATGTGGACAAATTTAAAATTGTTTCAAGCAGTGGGACTGAAAGCAATACAAGTGATTCAGCTATGGTTTTGGTTTGGAACAAGAGATGGGATTTAATCCTTTATTGTCTGTATCCCCCCCCCCAACCAATCCTCTTGCCAAATCTTATTTTGCCTGATCAAAATATCCAGAATAGGGTGTATTTTGAAGCTGTAGTATCTGAAATACAAAACAACCATGATATTTGGTGAAACACTGAACTTGCTTCACCAACCAGGCGCTCTCCAGATGTTGACATGGCCATGCTGACTAGGGCTGATAGGAGTTGTGTAATCTAAGACATCTGGAGGTCACCAGTTTGGTGAAGGGTAAAGTTCTAGGATCAAGGATATCTTAGTAAAGTAAGGGACATGTGCCTAACGTTCAAGTTATTCCCTGGACTGCTATGTCCTTTTATGATTTAAAAAACAAAACAATTTACAGCTTTTGGGAAGAACAAGTAGTTCCAGCAATTAATGAACTCTCTGCCAGTTTATTATTAATACAATGGGCTGCAAACTAGGTGACTAGTGCTAGATTTTTCATAATAATAATAATAAATACCAGCCTTGTAAAGCCCAGAGCGAAGGAAGAGGAAATGAATCCAAACACAGTTGGAAATCCAAGGAAAGGAAAAATGCCGTCAATAATTCACCCATAAGAGAAGACCACCTCTGCTTCTTTCCTAAGGGTAAGTGATCCTGCATGTAAGTGAGCTTATTCCTCCTTTTTACAGCCATATCAGCCTCTCTAGAGATACAGGCAGTTTGCTGCTATTCCCTTTTACAGCATACAAAAGATACTCCTCTCTCATGGCCAGAGCTGAAATAAGGGCATCCAGGAACATTTTTGTACTCTCACTGGCTTATCCCCCATCTTTGAGTTGTATGACGGGGAGGAGTAAGGATTGCCATTTAACCAGAAGACCCTGGAGCTTGGACTGGTTTCGTTTAGGCCAGTTTTCAGAAATGTAAGGCTGAGTTCTCATTTTCCAGCCATTTCATTTTCTTAAAGCTGTATATACTGTAGAGACTGTAGCTTCTGAACTGGGCTTGACACCCAAACCCACCTGAAACTGCTAGACTCTGCTTTCTGGCCCTGGCCTGGAGTTAGGCTGACTGATGTCATCTGCTAGCAGTCCCAGGACTAGTGATGGTGATACAGGCTTAGTTCATGGGCAAGCAGTTTGCACAATCAAATCGGATGCATAAAAGCATTTGGGCTCTGATTTTTTTCTTTTAATTCTTGGCATAAGTTAATCCATATGCAAATATCCCCTCGATGGCCAGCTGGCTAATTGTCAAGATGTTTTGTTTTTGTTTTGCTACTATCTGTTTTGCATTTCCGTTAGGACAATCCCTTAATACTAGTCAATGAGCAATTTAAAATGTGTAATGGCCTTAAATTTATTGGCATAAGCCCATGATTGGCACCCATCCTGAAGAAGGAGAAATCACAAGCTGATTAATTGTAAATTGGCTCAAAAGCAACTAGATCTCCTTTTCCCCTAGTTTTTATTCTTGGTGTTTCATCTCTTCCCTCACCTTCCAGGCAGTCTCAAATGTCACACACTGTTCCTAGTTTCCCTTCTATAAGCTGCAACCATTTACAGAAAAGCAAGGGAGAAAATAAGTGATTCTTTAAATGTGCTATATATGTTGCTTCTGTCGACCAAAGATGCAACATCTGAAGCCAGCATGAAGTGCTGTAAGCCTTGGAAGCAATGTTGGGAGGCCAAGGACCATGTGGACA